GCCCTGAGTCCCCCCTAGGGGGTGAGAAGGGCGGGGTATAAGTAACTGCAATAAATAAATAAATAAATAAGTTTTTTTAATGTTATTAATAGCTTAATTTCATTTTAATGCTGAGCTCCTGTATCTTTTAACTATTGTACTTGTTTAAATTTGTAAGCCACATTGAGCCATAGTTTTGGAATAGATGCTGTATTTTAGAGGAAGGAACTAGGAAAACCACCACTGAGTATTCATTGCCTAAGAAAATTCTTTCAAATACATGGGTAACCATAAATCAACAACTGAAGACACATACACATACACATACATTACTGGATGTGATCCCTACTGGAAATGGCTTCATCTGTAGCAGTAACTGGCCCGTTTGCTGCTTACTTGGCCTTTAAAAAATGCTTTGAGGCCTTTCCTTTGGCACTAAATTGAAATATTACCAGATTAGCTGGGTTTCATCCAAATTTTGGCTCTATTTATCTAGATTGGTCTCTTGCCCAATTCCTCAACCATGTGGTTTAATGTCCTCCAGATTCAAGACATTGAACCACATGCTAGAATCTTGTATGGAAGGCAGATGGTATCTCTCCCTTTATTGATTTCTAGGGTAAATAACTATACCTATAACAACCTGTAGATTTTTTGCTGCCTGAAGTGGAGTTCAAGTGGCACCTGCTCTCCTTGAGCTGACACCTTAAAACTGGACACCATAAAGCAATGTTTACAGGTGACCGAGAACTTCCCTCTCCTACAAGTTTTCTTCTTTTTACAATGTTCATTTCGTAACTTCGAGAGAAAAGTGCTATCTATCAACTGTCCAATGATTTTTAATTTTTCTTCTTCTTTCCATTAGAATGATTAGTTTCCTTTTAGGCTCAGAACAATACTTAGAAAGAGAATAGAGCAAGATGATATACCTGGCACTGTTGTTTTTCTTAACAGTCAACAGCCTTTTATCATTTTTTAAAGGGGGGTTCCTAGGTGGCTAGCTATTCCTCAGTAGAAGGGGATAAATTTGGCACCATCCACCAGTTCACCTTCCCTTTTGCCATGGAGTCCACAGACTTCCAATCCACGACACACAGTTACTTCCAGTGGAGCTCTGTGATAAAAGGGAAGGCAAACCCGTGCATGCTGCCACAGCAGCAATACTAGAAACTTCCCACGTTCAATTGAAATCAAGATGAACTTTTAATGAAAGAAGAACTGGAACAGAAGAATATGGAATAATATAGAAAATATAAGATAGGACTGTTTGAAATTAGATGACAATGTTGCTCCTCTTTTTGTTTTAGGGGTGTATGGAATTTGTAATATTTTTAAGTAATGTGTGTAAGGGTAGTAGCAATGAAGAATTAGATGTAATAACTATAATTCAGTATAATGTGTCTCCCTCTGTCCCTTCAACCCTTTTCTTCCCCTAACTCTTAAATATTCTAGAAATTAATCTATTAACAATGGCTATACCACACCCATCCTCCCCCTTTCCCCCTCTTTCCCCTTCTTTTCCCTGACTATTCTATTTTAAATATACTATATATATAGAGAGAGAGTGTGGGGGGGGCACTTCCTCCTGTAGGATGCAGCAACAGGTGAGCTAGGTGATACAGAGTGTGAGCTGATGGGTGCCCCACACCTCCCAATGGGCACCACTAGATTTGCCACAATATGTGGCGATTCCAGCAGCCCATCTGATGATGTCATCTGTTGTTGGGGAAGGAGTTCCTGGTAGTAGAACTGGGTGGGACGTGAGGTAAACATTCCTACCACAAAGCGGCTCTTTCCCGATTTTTTTTAAGGTTAATGTGTGCTAATACTCACATATCAGCATTAGCGCTACTCCACTTGAGAGAAAATATGTTTATTCACATGCATGATGGAATAAACAATAAAAATAGTAAAGCATCTAGTGGTTCTCAACTTGTGGGTCCCCAGGTATTTTGGCCTACAACTCTCAGAAATCTCAGCCAGTTTACCAGTTATTAGGATTTCTTGGAGTTGAAGGCTAAAACATCTGGGGACCCACAGGTTGACAACCACTGACAGCCATGTGGCTAAAAACAATGCAAAGGATTGGAAATGCAGGTTAAGTTCTGAAGAAGAAGTTGTGACCAGTTATGGCAATCTCACCACAATTTGTAATGTGTGTGGTGTTATGGGAACACCAAAGACTGAGCAGAAAATGCAGCACCTAACAGATTTTTTTCAACAATGTAAACAACTCTATGATACTCATGCTGTGCAGTATGGACACACTGAAAAATTATTGAATTGGCCTCTCATAGGGTGCTGCCTTATGTTTCACGCTAATGCTTAGGAAGGCCACACCTGAATATGATTACTACTGGGTTTTACAGAAATCTGTGTTTCAGAGCAGCTACAGTATTTAAAGGGGCAATACTATGAGTATGTTGGAATTCAGCCTGTGATTGTGTCTAATGATCAGGGTACTCTGGATGTTGGGAATGACAATGATGTTTCTGAGGGTCATGTACCTAATGATGTTTCTTATGATGAGGTTTCCTTATATGCAGAGAATGACAATGGGATTCTTGTTCAAAGTGTCTTTTCTGATGAGAATGTTTCTGAAGGGTTTGGGGATGATGGTATGGTCCCTGGAAGGGGGCATTAATTGCTTCCAGAGAATTCCCAGGATTTTGTATATATTAAGTGCCTTGTTTGATTTCATGAGTCAAGTTTTGGAGCTTTACCTTGGAAGTTTCTGTATTTGTTTTTCATGAACTCTGATGTACTTATTTCCTGGACTATTTGTTTCTGCCTATCTTTCTACCTAATTGGAGTTACCTATTTTTATGGAGTGGTTTTACTGCTACTGCTTTTTAATTATCTTCAATAAACAGCTTGCATTTTTACTCAGCTGTGTGGTGTTTAAAGTCAGAGGGCTTTCCTGGCCTGGAGTGCAAAGTGTACTTCTCCAGAAGTAAAGCCCATTAAGCTTACTCTCAGAAGGCAAGTACAGGATTGCAGTTTTAGTGACCTAGACAGAAGTAGCAACCAAGCTCATTTTAATTACTTTTTGAAGTGCTCCAGCACTTTAGCACAAATAAAAAACTGGTGCACACACATGTCCAATTGGTTTGTGATGCTAACAAAACAATGGCATGTCACTCTGCACATGACATGGATGTATTGGTTTCTTCTTCCCTTTACAAAATATGATGGACTGTGAAGTAGCCTTTGGCTTTCAGTCTGAAAAAGACTACATTTTTTTCTGGCACTAAATATCAAAGCTGATGGGAAATGACAGTGCTCAAATCAGTTGTAAAAGTATTTTTTAAATCTCACATTTCCAAAAAGGCTGATGAGATATGAGCATGTGCTTAATGGTCATTCTGACTCTTATGGATTAGCAACCCAAAAATTGACACTTTCCCTGCCTTCTAACAATGGGTGAAGCTATTTACTATGCAAAAGCAGATTTCTCTCATTTGTAAGAGTGTTGTCAAGAAATTTCTAAATTTTGTCTCATTCTCTGGATTGTTAAAACAACTTTGAGCCAAAACCAAGCTATTGGTAATATTGATAATATTTATATATGACTTTTTGTAAATATTATAGATCAATTAAAAGTGAAACTATTAAGCAACTTAACATTTGTAATGAATCTGTATTTCTAAATTTAGGAACCTGAAACACAGCAAGAAAGAATGAATATGTTAATTCTTCCTGCTTTGTTTTGCTGTCTACTTTTGTTTTGTGTCTGGCAACTACAGTAGCTGACAACAAATTTAAACATGAAGCATTTTTCTCATAACATCCCATCCCATTCTTGGACATTTTATACTTTGGTCTCTGTAGTTTATATGGTAACCAGAAACCTCTGCATGACATTGCATCCCCTCTCCCCACTCCCATCTTTCCCTCCAATGCCTTTCCTATTTTACCTAAATTTGAAACTTGGTGGCAGGAAGTGGCCCATCTTGCATGCACTGCAAACTTGTTCGATTTGCTTCAGCAGGTCCCTCTTGCTGTAGTTGTATCCGTTGAAAATGTTGCTCCCAAAGAGTAGGTTCCCTCCAGCATACATCTGTTGACAAACAGGCAGGAAGGAGGGGGACAAAAATGCTTTGCAATAAAAAATAAATAAAACAAAACCAAGTTTGAAGGCTCCAACCAAATGGCTTCCTTTTCCTGTTTTGCACAGGAGTCTTAAATGTTTTCACCCAGACATGAGGGGCTTTGACAGCTACTCACTCACATAGCCTTCCTGCACATTGATTTACACCACAGATGCTGAATGGAATGCCTCCGACTTGAGGGGAAGCAAAAAAGGTACAGTTCCTACATGGAACTCACTGAAAGCTTACATTTACTCTTTGGGATACTCTGCCAAGCCTATCCCAAGAGTAACAAGGAAGGTCAGCACACTTTTGCCTTAAAATGCATTCTCATGCTTCTGTACTCTAAAGCAATAAGGCTATGGCAGACATCTAGGTCCCATCTACACTGACCATCTAATGCAGTTTCAAACCAGTATGAAAGAAAGTGGTTTTGCTATATAAATGATTACACAGGAAATCTGGAACGTTCTAGCAAATGGTGATTACATAAACCACAGAGCACTGGTATACAGTAAAGCCTTTCTTTTGGCCACATTTGTGGCCAAAGCAGTTTCAAGCTACCTTTAATTGCATTAAACAGTCAGTGTAGATGGTGTTGAATTTTAACAATAATGGTACTCTAGTCCTTGCTTCAATTCACATTCCATTACATATATTGTATATAGTTGCAAGTATATTCAGAAATACATTCTTTGATACATTGACAGCCAGTGTGTTATACTGGTTTGTATACTGGATTAAAACTCTGGAGATCAGGATTCAGTTCTCTGCTTAGCTATGGAAACCCATGCATGGAAAATCATATACTCTCAACCACAGAAACCCCTGTGATTGCTTCCCCTCAAAATCTCCATACATTGGAACTGATTTGACAAAACAAAGATGACATCAGATAGGTGAATTCAGCATGGGGCCTCTCTGTGAGGGTGACACTTTCCTCATGTGACCCAAGCCAAAGGATAGGATATTCACTCTAGGGTAAGGTAAAGTAAACATAGGTGTGGAGAAGGGCAGCTCAGTGTTATTCAGTGAGTTTGTTGTTGAAATTGAATGGGTTTACCAAATTACTTGTTGTGGGGACAGAAAATGAAAAGGTTCACTGTGCCCCCCCCCCCCCCCCCCCCCCCCCCCCCGTGACTGGCCCATGCTTTAATGCATTACTAGGTGCCCTCTCACAGCAGCAAACTGACGGATTTCCTGGTAAGCCTTGAGGAAGGAAGGAAGGTCACACAAAGAACACCTAGGCCTGAATCTTCTGTTCTGCCCAGCTGTAAGTAAGCTTCATCCGCACCCCTTTCTCTAACGATGCATCATACAACTACTGAACCATTTGGCAAAAAAACAAAAAATAAAAATAGACAGAAGAGAATGATAATCATTTTGAATAATAACACTGGGGGTACTGATGCACAACTAGGATGTTTCTGTCTTCAGGATTCTCAGTTATGTTATGCATAAGAGTACAGACAGCTCTTCACATGTTTTAAAATGAATGCTCATGCCAGAATGAAATCTTGTTCTTCATTTGTTCTAGTTCTACATGTATTTGATTTATCTCAAATCAACATTTGTTTGGTAATTATCCCTGAAATTAGAATGGACAGGGCTGGGTCAGTAATATACAAGGTGTAACACCATTGAAGACATCTGTGGAATCACAATAATAGGCACTTTTTTGAGGGGAGGAGATCTCAGGGAGTGAAAGGGTGTGGATTTCCAAAGAAAAGAAAAGGTGGGCTGGGTGGGGTGGGACAGGTGTATGCAACCTCAGAGTGTGAGGTGGAGACAGGAGAGACAAACAATAGATGGGGACAAAGGGTGGAGGGTTATAGATTAAGGCACATGAGCCAGGAGAAGTAGGTGGAGATGTTCAGTAAAACAAAGTGGAGGACATGGAGAACGAAGCATGTGGGTGGAGGGTGTGGGGAGGCAAGGATATGAGATCAGGGAGGTGGGACAGAGGGGATTCGGAAACGGTTGGAGCAGCCATCGGAAATGGGTAGCTGGCAACCACATGCTTGCCTTGTATGATTTAATGTGGCTTCCGCTCGAGGAACAAAGAGTTTATTATGAAGCCAAAGTTCTGTGGCTGCCTGGTAATTTGCGGTAGCCTTAGTTCTCAACTCCGTCAGTTGAAAGCATCTGATTCTGCAGTTCCCTCTAGTGGACTACAGCTTCAAATGCTACAGACAACTGGTTGCAAAAAATTATACAATCCTTCTGCTGCACCTCACATAAAGGGCAATAGAAAAAAAAGACACACTTGCATGGGAAGTAATATATTTGCTGAAGTATAGCTTTTTCAAAATTGCTGGACAAATTCTTTCCATCTCGGTTACAAAGAGCAATCAGGGAGCCTAGGTTGTGAATACACAGCCCTACACTCCCTAAAAATATACTCTTCTGCAGGAACCACAAACAATTAGCACAATAGATGAAGATTCATTTGAGACAGAAAGCACTTCTTTTTATCACAATTTGAACTAATTATCATCAGTCTCAGAGGTCTTGGGACCTTGATAGTTTGGGGATGCTTTTCCATATATAAACTAGCCCAAGAACAGAGATCTCCTGGAGAAGCCCTTCTCAGTGTCTCAACTGTGGGGTCAATACACTGGGAAAGACAGAGGAGAAGATCTCCCCTTGACATGGTTTCACATCTGTGGAATGCACGTCCCTTTGTGCTAATGCCATGCTAAAATGTTGTCAAGCTAAAACATGTTTTTTCTTTGTTAAAGCCTTGGGGACTTAATTGATTTCCCCCCAAAACTTATATGTGGATTGTATTAGCCCACTTTCTTTTTATCCATCTAACTTGTAAAAGCAGTTTGTATGCTTTTTGTTTTTTAATATGCTTACATTATTCCTTCATCTTAAAATCTTATGTTGTTTTGAAATTGTGTGATACACTTACATTTCATGATAACCACTGCAATTGTTATCATTGCAGTAAGTAAGTAAAGACTGCCTTAGGAGTCCTTCAATCAATGGTTTACTTTGATCAGGGGTTGGAAAATGCCCTTTTGGATTTCTGCTGGATTTTTCAATGACATTTGATACCATTGATCCATGTATCCTTTTGGACTGCCTGATACAGATGGGTTTAGGGGATATCACTTTGACAATCATTTCAGTCTTTCCTTGTGTGTCAATTTCAAAAGGTTGTGCTGGTGAACTTATTTTTCACAACTTGGGCACTGGAATATGCTGCCCTACAGCACTTTCTCAAGTATTGTTGGACTGCAACTGCTAGCAAATCTAGCCAGCAAAATCAGTGATGAGCAATGCTGGGAACTGCAATCCAGCAACATCTGGTGGGCTACATGTTTTCCACCTCCTCCCTATAGAGGAAAAGAATCTTTCCTATATACTTTAACAAATACATTAACTGATTAAAATAGACTTTTTGGAGATACCTAGTGTTTCTAAGTAAGTAGGAAGCACACAGAGCTCTTTTTCTTTGTTTCTCCCAGACATCTTTTAAAATTGATATTCTGTACCTGGAAACAGTAATGGATGCGTTGATGACTAAGACAGTGAATACAGGTAGTAACATGTACTCCAGATAGGAGAGTGGTAGCATTTTAAAGCTGTTTTAGATGGAGTATTATTTACCCTGAAGAACCATGCTTGCAGTTTGGACAGTGACAATTACAGTTCCCGTAACATCTTAATGTTTTAGGATTAATTTTGAGCAGTCTTCAGAAATTTCAGTTAGTGCAAAATGCAATAGCAAGGATAGCAGTGAACTTCCTTCTGCCATCCTTATGGTACCTGGTTAATATTTTTGCTTATAGGCACAAATTCTATAAGTCAGAGATAACCACTAAAGTAGAAATGATTTGGGTCAATGATACCTAACATTGCTTTTCCTTCTATCAGTCTCTGCTTTATCAAAGGTTTAGGGGAGAAAAGGAGATTCCTTTGTTTCCCATCTAGAGGGGATCAACATTTGACTAGAATGTGAGTCGAGGGCTTCTCAGTGGCCACACTTAAACTGTAGAATACATTTAACTTTTTGTTTTCCACTTGGGACAGTTGGGATAAAAAGCCATACCTAAGTAGGAGGGCAAAAGTGGAGGGAAGGGAATGGGATAAGTCCAGTTCCAAATAAAACTGGGTAGCATTTCAAATTGGAAAAAGCATTCAATTTTGGGAAATATTTGTTCAGTCATACAGTATTTTAAGGGCCTCCAAAACATGGCAGATTTCCTCCTACAGCCTTCTCAGAGGGCATAAAGGAACTTTTTAAATTAAAGAAGAGGATATCTTGGAAAGCTAGGTTGGGAGACTTGGGCTTGTATGTGTAGTCCACCTCTGCATTCAGGGAGCACAGCACTTGGGGTGTGTGTTTGTCTTCTATTTGTTTGTTTTTGCTACAACAAACTAGGAGTTAAATAATAATTCAGTATTATGAAAGAGAAAATAGTTAATACTTAGAAATAAATAAGATCTGAACCATGGAAAAAGAAAAGATTGCATCTGTGAAAAAGGTGGGGAATTCAAGGCATAGTAGACTATTTAGGACTTCATCACACTTACCAATTTAAGCATCCTAGGACACCTGCCAGGCACTTGAGGGACATTTGAGCGCACAGCCCATCACACGATGTTCCTCAACTTCCAGCAGAGGCCCTGCTCCCAACTGGCATGGAAGTGTCCTAGGGACCTTATCACATATTCCCCCGCCCCCAGTGCTGTTTCACCATCAAGCATGGCAAAACGGCAGGCACAGCGATGCTTCCCCCATCATATGGAGGAAGAATCACCTAACCAGGGCAGAAGTGTGCTGGCTCCAGTAGACCTGGCACAACACAGGAGCCTTTCCATGTTGACGAGGAAGCATCCTAGGATGCTTACACACCAGTTAGAGACGGGGCCTCCGTCAGAAGTTCAGGGATGTCATGTGATGGACTACATCCCAATCTGTCCCTAAACTGGCTGGCAAGCATCCTAGGATGCTTAAACTGGTAACTGTGATGAGGTCCTACAATGCTTCCTCATCAACATACTTGCTGGCTAAATGGCACAGGGTCAGGTGTGATAAGATCCCTAGTCCAATACTACAAATTGAAATTACTGAGGCTATATTTGTGACAATATATCCAGATACTACCCTTTTGTCTCATGATTTCTTTGTGTATGGAAAAGCTTAGGAGTATTAGTCCCTAGCGAAGATGAAACAAGATTCATCTAGGTAAGATGAAACACAAACACACACACACACATCTACACTATAGAATGAATGCAGTTTAACACCACTTTAACTGAAATGGTTCAAAGCTAGGGAATCCTGGGAGTTGTCATTTTACAAGCCTTCTTTGCCAAATAGTGCTGATGCATCATAATATTACAAATCCCAGGATTCCATAGCCATGGCAGTTAAAGGGATTCCAAACTGCATTCATTCTACAGTGTAGATACACCTTCTGACACTTTCATGAAGTTTGATTTTCTGTCCCCTGAGAGTCGGGGCCCTTCCAGATTGATCTGTCTTGCTTTTACAAGAGATGACCTAACAAAATCTCTGGTAAAAGTAAATTAATGCTTAGAAAACTGAGTTTCCTTGGTTTATTCTGCATTAATTGAAGCCTCTCCTCATGTCTTTCTGAGTGGAGAAAATGACATGTGAGGAGGCTTGGGAGACAGAGGTGGAGGGATTTTCCTTCTCACCCCCCCCCCCCACCTCTTCAGGTGTCATTTCCTCCACTCAGGAGGACACGAGTAGAGGCTTAATGCCTGCCAGGGACCCTTTTCAGTAAGTTGGGGGGGGGGATTTGGGCTTTGAGGATACATGCTATCCCCAATTTCAATGGGGATACCTTGTAGCCACCCCTGTCTGGGTTTTGGGTTGAGGGTGGGGACTAGAATGCGAGTTTTTAATCCGTCTCCTGCTTGCATTTTAGTATAGTGTAGAAGGGTCTTCAGAGGCATATTTCTCAATACTTGAAGCTGTATATCAACAATAAGACAAACAGTACTGTGAGAGTAGGAGAGATCAGCCAATAGATTCTGTGGTGCTAAAGTGGATGAGTGGAATAGCAGCATCACAACAATGATAAAATCTGCCCTTGTGAATTTAAATGCGTTGTACTTCCATAGTCATAAGGTTTACAAGCATTTAAAATAGCTACAGTGGAACACAGGGAAGCTTTCATTGGGAGTCTCTGTTTTTTTTCTGACTTGGCGTTTCTGAATCTGTCTGAGTAAAAGCAACTTTCTTTATGGACCAAGACTCCCAAGATGAGAATAACATATTCCAGACATGACTAGGATAGGAGACTGAGCATTCAACAGCTTAGTATATTTATAGCACAAAACATTGAATAACAAGGCCTGTTAATCATTTATTCCGTATTCATTCTCGCTTTCTCTCTGACATACACAGAAGGCCTTCTTGTGATGTCCCCATATTCTTATCTTTTTAAAGCTGATATTGTATCAATTTTATAGGTTTATTTTTTATTTATCGTGTCAAGGGTAACCAATTGTATTACATTTCTAACAGAACAAAACAAAACAAACAGACAAAACACAAAATTTTATAGGTGAGACATTAAGAGTAAATTGAGAATAAATCATTTTTAGGAATCTGCCTACAAAACCCAGGATTTAGTTCAAAATCTTTATATAATTGCATCTAGATTTTTTAAATTGCTCAGAAATCCTATTGACTTTAGTGAGAAAATATGCAGCATTTTAGATATTGTTTACTTGGACATTCAAAAGACTTTGGACAAAGACTTCTGGGTTACTGTAAGTTTTTCAGGCTGTATGGCCATGTTCCAGAAACATTCTCTCCTGACGTTTCGCCTGCATCTATGGCAGGCACCCTCAGAGGTTGTGAGGACCATAACCATGTCTGTTGTGTGAATATTGCCTCAACAAAAGTGTGAGCTGTCTCAAGATGTGGGTACTAAATTTAACTGAGGATCCAGTTGTGAAAAAATACCGATATTTATTTGGATATAAGCCAACCTGAATATAAGCCAAGGCACCTAATTTTACCACGAAAACTGGGAAAACTGGGAAAATGGATTGACTCAAGTATAAGGCGAGGGTGGGAAGTGCAGTAGCTACTGGTAAATTTCAAAATAAAAATATATACCAATACAATTACATTAATTGAGCCATCAGTATTTGAATATTTGCATAAAACTGTAATTTAAGATAAGACTGCCCAACTCTGATTAAATAATTATTCTAACTTTCATTGTAAATGTGCATACGTAACCTTCCAATAATAATAGAGTAAAATAATAACAGTAATAATAAAGTAAAATAATAAATGTAATAATAATAATTAATAAATTAAAATAATAAATGTAATAATAATAGAGTAAAATTATACATGTAACAACAACAACAACAACAACAACAACAACAACAACAACAACAACAACAACCGACTAAAATAATAAATAACCTTGACTACAGTATAAGCTAAGGGGGACTTTTTCAACCTAAAAAAGGGCTGAAAAACTCGGGTATATACAGTAATTCTTAGTTGTTTACTATCTTGAACACTCTCTCCCTCTTTCTGTTGGAATAATTCTTAGTAAAGCAGTACATGCATCAGGAAACTGACCTCAAAGTTAGGTGGCACAAAACCTTAAATGTAATGACTAAATGTCCATTTAGTCAGTTCTGAACCAGCCTAAACCTAATAGGGACCAAATTCAAATCTCCTCTTGACCACACTATTTTGATTTTCTTGAAGTCTGCATAAGTAGTCTTTAGTGTAATGATATGTTAATTGCTAAATGTTGAAGTCGTGCTGTAACTGGCAAGACAGGCTCATTTACACAACAAGAGCCTACCCCCCCCCCCCCCCCCAAGTTAATAGAAACAGTACAGTAACTCATGAAAAGTGGTTTTCCTCATCCAAATTTTCACTTATTCAGTAATGTACTTAGGGCCTGCTGTACAAGGTACACTCTCTCCTTGGTACTTCCAGCATTTGTCCCATTGTAAATAGTAGATAATAGGGTTATCTATTAGCCATGACAACAACAAGAAGAAATATACTTCAGGGACTTACCACTACCATCCCAGGAACAACGGCATGTTTCTCCACCAGAAGAGGAGGCTTCTTGTTCAGAGGGCTCTCTAGGTCATACCTCAGAAACCGAAAAGGGTCGTGCTTACTCTGGAAAGGATGAAAATAATCCTGAGAACCTGCATGTTGTGGCAGTTTGAGGGCTGGAGTAGGATATTGGGAGACCAGAGTTGAATCCTTGCTTGACCATAGAAACCCAGCGAGTAATATCTTGATCAAGAGAAGGGCAGATTGGCACGCATCAGAAATGTTATACACATGCCTACATACCATATTTCTTTTATTCTAATATGCTATCAACTGTAAGATGCCCCAGTGATTTCAGTACCACTACCACCAACAACAAAATACATAAGACACAACGCAATACTAAGATGCACTCAATTTTAGAGATATTTATATGAAGGAAAGGTGCATCTTAGGAATGAAGAAATATATATATATATATATATATATATATATATATATATATACACACACACACACACACACACACACACACACACACACATACATATACATATATATACACACACACACAGTTTTAAAGTTTTTAATGCCTAACAATATTAACTGAATATTAAGCATAGTAACACAGTTTGACATATAAGTAACCCCAAACCAGAATAGGAGGAGAGCAATGTCCAGTCTCGATAAAATAGTAAAGAGTAGAAACATCAGACTGGCAACAAAGACCCGCATAGTCAAAGCCATGGTATTCCCTGTAGTAACCTACGGATGTGAGAGCTGGACCTTAGGGAAGGCTGAGCGAAGGAAGATAGATGCTTTTGAGCTGTGGTGTTGGAGGAAAGTTCTGAGAGTGCCTTGGACTGCGAGAAGATCCAACCAGTCCATCCTCCAGGAAATAAAGCCCGACTGCTCACTGGAGGGAAGGATACTAGAGACAAAGTTGAAGTACTTTGGCCACATCATGAGGAGACAGCAAAGCCTAGAGAAGACAATTATGCTGGGGAAAGTGGAAGGCAAAAGGAAGAGGGGCCGACCAAGGGCAAGATGGATGGATGGCATCCTTGAAGTGACTGGACTGACCTTGAAGGAGCTGGGGGTGGTGACGGCCGACAGGGAGCTCTGGCATGGGCTGGTCCATGAGGTCACGAAGAGTCGGAGATGACTGAACGAATGAACAACAACACAAACTAGAATGAATTGGAAAAATTGTGTTAATGTAATTGGAACAGCAACACGTGTTTTCTAAGTTCCTTGAACTGCTCTTGGAAAGGACTGTCTAGTGCTAGATTTTGTCATTGCTCCTTGTCTGAAGGCTCCTGTTTCTGTCCCTTTTTATCCTTCTACTTCTTCCTTCCCTTTTTAACAGCTCTGCTTCATCCTGCAGCTTACTCTCCTCCTCCTCAGCTGTCTTTTCCTCCTTTCTTGGCCTTCCCTGCTCCATCGACAGCAGTTTTTTTTGCTCTTGTTCTCTTCTTCATGACTCCAGAAGACAGGATGAGGATTCAAAATGATTTTAACACATTAGAGAGCTGGGCCGAAACTAACAAAATGCATTTCAATAAGAAATGTACAATGCTACGCTTAGGCAGAAAAAAATGAAATGTAAAGATACAGGATGAGTGACACCTGCCTCGACAACAGTACATGTGAAAAAGATCTTGGTAGTCTTAGTGGACGACAAGTTGAACATGAGACAACAATGTGATGCAGCAGCTAATTTTGGATTATTGGCTACATGAAAGGAATATAATGTCTAAATCAAGAAAAGTAATTGTGCTCCTCTATTATTGAAAACTTGGCTGTTTTACCTTGCTTTTGATGAATAAATTACAAATCCCCAGACCATGACTGTCCCAGCTTAAACTTGTCCTCTCAATGCCCTTTACCTCATCCCCTAGCTGGAAAACTAAACCTCATAGCCTGTCCCATCAATTTCTCCCACCAGATAAACTACTCTATTTTCCTTTCCTATCCAATGTCTCCTGTTTTTATCTTTTTATTTTGATTATTGTATTGTTTAATTTATATAGCTTTAATGTGTTAGCCCCCTTGTGACCCATTATTAGGAGAAGAATGAGATATAGAGAATAGGAGGAGAAAGGCTTGTTCTGACCATTTTGTTACCTCAGGGGACGGCATCTGGAAGAAAGGCAACATGCAAATCCAGTTGGTTCATTACACTGGCATAACTATACCATCATGGGCGATGGCAGAAGACAAAGTTTATGGGCATAGCCTCCATGACAACTGCTGGTGTAGTGCTCCACCAAACTCCATATGTGTCACAGAAATGCATAGTCTCTTTGTATTTATTTTTTAAAGAATTAGACAAGATCATAGAAGGTTAGTAAAACTGATTATCCGCCATGAGAGCTACACACTGAGGCATTGCACTCTGCCAAATTGTAGAACCAGGCAGGTGGGTCCTTTTGAGAAATTAAGGATAGGCTGAATGGGCCTGGGTCTGGTGCAGCAAGGCAATTCGTATGCTTTCATAAGGAAGCCATCAAAATTCAAAATCTACTATGATCCCCACGAATATCTTTAACGAGGCAAAATACAGGTAAATGGGAACTGATTTAACGCACGGCTGGGTGTATCTTCTACTAAAATCCAGAATGTAGGCATTCTTTTCAGCCCTAAATACATTATAGAAATAAATAAAGTCTTGCATACTTTTAACTGTTTCAATAGACGTAAGTTTTGTTGTGTTCAGTGATATTTATTTCTTAGTTATCATGCTTACATTAAAACCTAGAGGAGTGATTTTCAACCTGAGATGTTTGGGCCTTCAACTCCCAGTAATCCTAACAGCTGGTAAACGGGCTGGGATTTCTGAGAGTTGTAGGCCACAACACACAGGTTGGCCTAGAACAGTAGTTCCCAACCTTTGGGCCTCCAGGTGTTTTGGACTTCAACTCCCAAACATCCCAGTCAGCTTACCAGCTATTAGGAACTGTGGGAGCTGAAGTCCAAAACACCTGGAGGCCCAAAGGTTGGGAACCAATGGCCTAGAAGAACAGCAAGAAAGCAAGCCAGATTCCTCCATGGCTTCTGTTCATGTGTTGCTGTTTCCATGTTCATCTCATTCCCCGTAGCTAAATGATCAGGAAATACAATCTTAAAAATGGGTAAGAAAATATCAGGAATAATTGTGCACCAAATAGTTTGTTAATGCAATGCAAATACAAGTGCATAACTCTGCTAACTTCTGCATTGTTATGCATGTTCACTGGGAATGATATGTTGTTGTTGTTCATTCGTTCAGTCGTCTCCGACTCTTCGTGACCTCATGGACCAGCCCACGCCAGAGCTCCCTGTCGGCCGTCACCACCCCCAGCTCCCTCAAGGTCAGTCCAGTCACTTCAAGGATGCCATCCATCCATCTTGCCCTTGGTCGGCCCCTCTTCCTTTTGCCTTCCACTTTCCACAGCATAATTGTCTTCTCTAGGCTTTCCTGTCTCCTCATGATGTGGCCAAAGTACTTCAACTTTGTCTCTAGTATCTTTCCCCCCAGTGAGCAGTCGGGCTTTATTTCCTGGAGGATGGACTGGTTGGATCTTCTCGCAGTCCAAGGCACTCTCAGCACTTTCCTCCAACACCACAGTCCAAAAGCATCTATCTTCCTTCGCCTTCCCTAAGGTCCAGCTCTCACAACCGTAGGTGACTACAGGGAATACCATGGCTTTGACTAGGCGGATCTTTGTTGCCAGTCTGATGTCTCTACTCTTTACTATTTTATCGAGATTGGACATTGCTCTCCTCCCAAGAAGTAAGCGTCTTCTGATTTCCTGGCCGCAGTCTGCATCTGCAGTAATCTTTGCACCTAGAAATACAAAGTCTGTCACGGCCTCCACATTTTCTCCCTCTATTTTCCAGTTGTCAATCATTCTTGTTGCCATAATCTTGGTTTTTTTTTTTAGCTGCAACCCAGCTTTTGCGCTTTCTCCTTTCACCTTGATTAGAAGGCTCCTCAGCTCCTCCTCGCTTTCGGCCATCAAAGTGGTATCATCTGCATATCTAAGATTATTAATGTTTCTTCCAGCAATTTTAACTCCAGCCTTGGATTCATCAAGCCCTGCACATCGCATAATGCATTCTGCATACAAGTTGAATAAGTCAGGGGAGAGTATACAGTCCTGTCGTACTCCCAATCTTGAACCAGTCTGTTGTTCAATGGTCTGTTCTTACTGTTGCTACTTGGTCCTTGTACAGATTCCTCAGGAGAGAGACAAGGTGGCTTGGGATGCCCATCCCACTAAGAACTTGCCACAATTTATTATGATCCACACAGTCAAAGGCTTTAGATAGTCAATGAAGCAGAAGTAGATGTTTTTCTGAAACTCCCTGCCTTTCTCCATTATCCAGCGGATATTGGCAATCTGGTCTCTCGTTCCTCTGCCTTTTCTAAACCCAGCTTGAACATCTGGCAACTCTCGCTCCATGTATTGCTGGAGTCTTCCTTGCAGGATATTGAGCATTACCTTACTGGCATGAGAAATAAGGGCCACTGTACGGAAGTTTGAGCAGTCTTTCGCATTTCCCTTTTTTGGTATGGGGATATAAGTTGATTTTTTCCAGTCTGATGGCCATTCTTGTGTTTTCCATATTTGCTGGCAAATGGAATGCATCACCTTGACAGCATCATCTTTTAAGATTTTAAACAGTTCAGCTGGGATCCCGTCATCTCCTGCTGCCTTGTTGTTAGCAATGCTTCTTAAGGCCCATTCAACCTCACTCCTCAGGATGTCTGGTTCTAATTCATTCACCACACCGTCAAAACTATCCTCAATATTATTATCCTTCCTATACAGATCTTCTGTATTGGAAGGATATAAAACACCCCAATGTGGCAACACTTACAAATGTAGCTCACCTGAATGCAGGGGGATGGACGACCATGCTGCTTTTGTATATAAATGTTTTCTATGGACCACTCAAAGAAAGGAGAGTAAGAATGGTTTTGGGGTGACAGTATGCATATCACAAGTACTTGATGAGGGTCTCTTGGAGCATTGATAAACTTTTCCAACTCCATATCTGTAATCAGTGGAATTTTAACCACACATTTGCAGCAAATGCCTTCACTTTCTTTAGCCAAAATTTTGCGCAGCGCAACTGGACAGTCAGTAAGAGAAGAGGCCCAGGTATCCTGTGCAGGGCCTGCATCCTCAGGTGAGACCAGCAGTGCCCTGTGGAGAGAAAGAAAGGGGACATATCAAAAGAATTCAAGCTGTAATTGAATCAAACAGCAATTTTCTAACTAAATATAAAAGCTTTTGCCATAGTTCTTTATATTCTGGAAACCTCACATTAGGATTAGTGCAATGAATTATATGTTAGACTGCCTTTCCCAACAGTCCAGAAACATCAACTGATCCAAAGTGAAGTAGCAAGATTAATAGTGTGACCTTAATACAATAGTACATTTCTACTGTGATGGCTCTCAGTTCACTTCCATGTCTAATTCAAAGTACTAACCTTTAAAGTCCCTAATATATGGGTTGCTTGGAAGATTTTGCCATCACTTAATGCCTAGCTGAAGAATCCAAAATAATATTTGGAGACCCTTTTCTATGTGTCCTCACCAAATATAACAGGAGGCTACTAAAAATGTCATTTTCAGTGGCAGCATCCGAGGTTTAAGAATTTACTTACTTGTTCTATTTAAGAAGTGAATTATTGTCATTACATGGCAGTGTGTGTGTGTTATGCAATTTGTCATGCTACTCATTTTTTTGTTTCTTTGGTTTAAAACATAATTTAGGATTTATAGAAAACAGCTGCCACAACCACCATTACTTGTCAAAATCTACGACCTCAGACATTCTGCATGATGTTATTGCCAGTGTTACTGGACCTGCTCCAATCATGTTTGAGGCATAGTATTTGGTATTACATGTCTTTGTATCACTATTAGGTTTTTTAGTGTTTGTATTACAAGATTCTGCAAGGTAGATTCCAGTGAGAGTTGCCAGATATACAAGCTGGGTTTAGAAAAGGTAGAGGAACGAGAGACCAAATTGCCAGTATGAGATGGATAATGGAGGAAGGCAGGGTATGTCACAAAAACTGGCCTTTGCCTGTGTGAATCATAATAAATTGTGGCAAGTTCTTGGTGGGATGGGGGTACTAAGCCACCTTGTCTGTCTCCTGAGGAATCTGTATAACGACCAAGTAGCAACAATAATAACAGATCATGGAACAACAAACTTGTTCAAGATTGGGAAAGGAATACAACAGGGTGGTATACTCTCACCCGACCTATTCAACTTGTATGCAGAACACATCATGCGATGTGCAGAGCTTAACAAATCCAAGGCTGGGGTTAAAATGGGAAGAAACATTAACAACTTTAGATATGCAGATGATACCACTTTGATGGCTGAAAGCAAGGAGAAGCTGAGGAGCCTTCTAACCAAGGGGAAAGAAGAAAGTGAAAAAACTGGGTTGAAGTTAAACATTTTAAAAAGCAAGATCATGGCAATCAGAGTGATTGATAACTGACAAACAGATGGAGAAAACATGGAGGCAGTGAAAGACTTTGTATTCCTAGGCGCAAAGATTACTACAGATGCAGACTGCTGCCAGGAAATCAGAAGACTTCTTGAGAGGAAATCAATGACCAATCTCGATAAAATAGTAAAGAGTAGAGACATCATACTGGCAATGAAGATCCGCAGAGTTAAAACAATAGTATTCCCCGTAGTAACCCATGGATGTGAGAGCTTGACCATAAGGAAGGCTGAGCGAAGGGAGATAGATGGTTTTGAACTGTGGTATTGTTGGAAAATGTTGAGAGTGCCTTAGACAGCAAGGGGATCAAACCAGTCCATACTCCAGGAAATAAAGCCTGGAGGGAAAGATATTAAAGGCAAAGATGAAATGGAGGGAAAGATATTAAATGGAGGGAAAGTTATTAAAGGCAAAGATGAAATACTTTAGCCTGAGAAGACAGGAAAGCTTAGAGAAGACAATGATGCTGGGAAAAAATTGAAGGAAAAAGGAAGAGGGGCTAACCAAGGGCCAGATGGATGGATGTTATCCTTGAAGTGACTGACTCGACTTTGAATGAGGTGGGGGTGGTGACGCTGACAGGGAGCTCTGGCATGGGCTGGTACATGAGGTCACAAAGAGTTGGAAATGACTGAACGAATGAACAACATTACAGGTTGAACATCCCTTATCCGTAATTCCAAAATTCACAGTTGTCCACCTGGGAGACTGGTGTCACCTGTGCTTTCTAATGGTTCAGTCTATATACATTTTTTTTTCATGCACTAGATGTTTAGGGCTGGGACCCATCTCCAAGATATCTTATTATGTACATGTATGTAAATACGTGTATTTTAATATTTGGAAAAATCGAAAATCCAAAACATTTCTGGTAACAAGCATTTCACATAGCAAATATTCAACCTAGATTCTCTGTTGTAACACTTGGTTGGTTATGCTTATATTTAATTGCTTTCAGGCTTTCAGTATTCAGTGTTCTGTATATTTTTCACAATATTACTCAATATCATATTAACTCTTCCTTTTAACTGTTGTACTCCCCCTATTTTCTAGTTGGAGTTTTGCTTGTTTTGAGACCCTCCTGTGTTTCCTGTGTTTGAAGCACAAATCCTGTCATATTCAAATTCTGTCAATTCACATGTTTGGTCCCGTTCTTCTGACTAACTTTTTCTCCAAAAGATAGCCCCACTAACCTCAAGCCAGGTTTTTGTTTCTCCTTCACAGGTTGATAACATATAAGGCTCCGTGAAAAAACTGGCTTGGAGTCTGCTTTCACTTTGACTTCTGCAGCAGAGCCACGGGTTTCTTCTTTGAGTTTTCTACTCCAGGCATAAATGGGCGATTCCCTCACCATAAACTTCACTTGCTTAGCAGTAGAAAATTCAAGTGGGTAGTCTATGCAACATATTCCTGCCAGATAAACAAGGGAAGATTTCTCCATTATATTGTAAAGTTACACAATTATTATTCTTATTAATTAATTTATTTATATGCTGCTTTTCTCCCAAAATGGGACTCAAAGCAGCGTACAGCATATAAAATCAGAAAGCACTTACATAACATAAAAACACAATCACAAACCACAAGATGCACAAAATTAGCAACTTACAACATTATAAAAACCCAGACATTATAAAAACCCTGACAATAGAAACTGCTCAAGTCCAATTGCAATTTTTATTTTGTTATTTCTTACCGAATAATATTGTGAGCTATAGGGGGCTGCAAAATCCCATTTTGTTCCCTTTCTTTTGGAATATGTTTCAATGTGATGGCTTTCTCATCCTTAAGACACAATATCTGACAGTATTTTATTTACTATAATCCCAAATGACGACCAAATGGCAAAATGGGTTATCTCAGGCCAGTGAAGAAAGACTTGGGAATCAAGGTATCTTACAAAAGGCAGAAAATTACAATAAAACACATTAAGTTAAAAAATATCCCTTCTTTCTCTCACGGGATGGGTGATTTTTTTTCTCTTCCAACAGGCTCAGGCAAAGGCAAGCTTCTGCAGTCTTTCCCAATGTATGTATTCTTCCTCATAGATAAAATTTGGCATCTTTATCACACCCTGATGTTATTTAACCAAATACGTCCTGCTTATTGTCCATGAAACAATGGAGGGTATGGAGCCCACCTAGAACTCTGAAGGATGTTTCTTGTTGAAGGTGATTTGTTGAGTAATACTCCAAGAATTTTCTGAACTACTGAAAATTGGCTGGACATATCCTCAGACACCTGTAAAACAGATTGTAAAATGGACCTCTGGAGGGTCAGGAATCAAGGGCTTCATCTGCATGTTTTGTGGAATGAAAGCCACCCCACTTTCTCCAGCTTGTAGTGATAAGTACACTTCATGTGGAGCCAAAGCAATGTTTGTGTGTTTGAATAAAGTGTTGATTACATAATCCAACATGTTTTAAGAATTAAAATATACCAAATTTGTCAAATTATTCATTTGCAGGGTAGAAATTCAGAATAAAAATAAAATTATATGCACTATGGATACTAGAAGACCAGCAAAAACGATGATACCTGAGACCATCAGAACTCCATTTATGAATTGTTTCACTCTCTTCTCAAACCTTCGCTTAAGTTCTATTAAGCTTCGAATCCAGTGTCCTTCCCTGTCTTCGCTTTCAGGGTTTCTTAATGGCAACTTTGAGATGTAAAGGGAAAAATGGAATCAGGCAATTATGTTTCTGCATTTGGAAACTTACCACATTGTTGGTTTACTATATAGACTTTGTTAAAGGCAACATATGAACATTTATACAGCACATTAAGAGGATTTTTAAAGCATATTTTAAAGCATATATTATTGCAGAAATCTTACATTCTAAGAGCAGCCCCAATAATGTCAAATAATATTTATTGCTCTCACACTCTAGATGGAGTATAACTAGTTCTTCTCAAAGTGTGCAGGTAAAAATAAACTATGTGTGGGAAAGATGTTGTTGTTTATTCATTTATTGCTTCCGACTCTTTGTGATCTCATGTCACAAAGCCCATGTCAGAGCTCCCTGTTGGCCGTCACCACCCCCAGCTCCTTCAGAGTCAAGCCAGTCACTTCAAGGATACCATCCATCCATCTTGCTCTTGGTTGGCCTCTCTTTCCTTTTCCTTCCATTTTCCCCAGCATCATTTCATTATGTGGCCAAAGTATTTCATCTTTGCCTCTACTATCCTTCCCTCCAATGAGCAGTTGGGCTTCATTTCCTGTAGTATGGACTGGTTTGATCTTCTTGCGGTCCAAGGCACTCTCAGAATTTTCCTCCATTCCACCACAGTTCAAAAGCATCTATTTCCTTTGCTCAGCCTTCCTTATGGTCCAGCTCTCATATCCGTAGGTCACTACGGGGAATACCATTGCTTTAACTATGCGGATCTTTGCTGCCAGTGTGGTGTCTCTACTCTTCACTATTTTATCAAGATTGGTCATTGCTCTCCTCCCAAGAAGTAAACATCTTCTGATTTCTTGGCTGATATTCACCACTATTTATTTCATAGCAGAATAATGAGTTTTTCAATGATTAAGGAAACCTCACTGAGAATTTTGCACTTCACATAATTGCTTCTAATATTTGCAGTACAACTGTGATGTATAAATGTTCTGGACTTTCTGCCTATCACAGTTAAAGTTGTCAAAATTCAGAACCACATGATTTGTGGATATGATACCATAAGATAGGTGGATAAGCCCTAGCCTTTATAACCCAGGATTAGACAAATTTAACCCAAGGTTAGACAAATTGACAAAAGATAGGTCTAATAAGGTTATTAGTGTAGGTTTAAGTAATCACAGCAGTTAGGTACAGTGTATGGAGACAGAGATCCATGTTCAGTCCCTAACATCTCCAGTTAAAATGATCATAGGTAGCATCAGGTGATGGCCAAGATCTCTGCCTAGTTTTGAAATACACCAAAATATCCCTTGTCCTAATCTTCTACAAACAAATACCCACAGTCCAAAACTTGAAAATGTTACTTGTTTTTGGACTCCAGTTCCCAGATGGGTTGGAGGATTCTGAAAAAAGATAATATTTTTATGCTTTGATGCTGGTCCCACATTCCATCTCTCTCTCTTTTTCCTACCCACCCAGCTACACACACTATCTTTCTTCCCCTCCTCCTTTCCTGAACATTTTCATATATGTCCAGATCCATCATTTCAGAACTGTCTCTTCTCCTCCAATGAGATGGATCAAAGCACTCTTCACCTTCAAGTGGCTTGAAGGTGCATCAAAGTGTTTTTTGAAGTCAGAGAGCCTGCTGAAGACATTGGGGGTTGTAGATTATCCACCTGTTCTTAGCACATTGTACTTGCAAGGATTTCATTTTCAGCATGGGTTCATTTTTTTAATACCACCACCAACAGTTTTCTTTCTCTGCTACAAAGGTAATAAAAATTCCCTACTGCATGTAGATACAGTTCTATTTTAGGGATGTAAAGAATATTCTCATCTTCAAGATTTCGCTGCATACAGGTGTGAAAAAAATTGTCAAAGACAAGTAGCCATTTTGGTAGCAGCAAAAATTATTTAATTTAATTTATGTTTTCCTTCCTTTTGAATTTATGTCCTGATCTTTTCTTGTACTGAACCCATGGCAGCAAATAGGAAAAAACAGTTTTATTTCATGCAAAGCTACGTTGTTTTGTGCAAAATCAACCTTTTGTGCAAAAAATTGTCAATTATATTTTTGCAAAAAAAAAAAGCCTCTCTATTTGCTTAAAAAGTGAGTGCAATCTCACTCAACAAGGGAAAAACATTTTTTGTTGTTCTCAGGGGTGATTCTGTTCTTTCTTTCTTTCTTTCTTTCTTCTTTTTTAAAAAGATGGGTTTGTAGATAGACAGCCATTCTGTACATAGGATCTGCCAATAGTTGTGGGACAATACCAGCTGAGACAACAATGAATTCTTAATCTAAAAAAAATGGCCCAATTAACACGAAGAGGCTGGGAAATATGTCATTCAGCCAGCCTATGAAGACAGCCAATGGGGTAATAAAGCATTTTAATGCAAAGGCTGACTACCCACAAAAGTGCATTGATAGTATAAATATTTAGAGAGTGTGTGAATGAGTTGGAAATAGGCTCTTAAGGAAAGAACGTTGCCTTTAATATCGGTTTTATTGTGCCGTTCCTTGGGGCTCCTTTTCAAAGGTCAATGGAACTCTGGGGAAGCAATTTGAAAAGGGTTGAAGATGGTATACATATATTTTCTTTTTAAGAAAAGCATAGAGAGGCATAGTTTGACTACTAGCCTTTCTAGCAAAGCTTGCATTTTCTGGTGATCAGCATAAACTCTGATTGTACAAAGGCCTACATTCATTAAAGGGCTTGTTGCTATATTGTCTGAAGCTCAAATGCATGATTCAGGACCAATTGCCATGGACATGACACAGATATATAAATATGGGGATGAGGGTAATATTAGGGCATTGTTCCCCAATAAGAATACTTCCCTATTTCCAACATGGAGCAAATACAAACATTCTCAGGCTGGATCTACACTGCCATAGAACCCAGTTTCTGAATCCAGGTTATATGCTTTGAGCTGGATTATATAAGTCTACACTGGCATATAATTCAGTTCAAAGCAGATAATCTGGATTCAGAAACTAGATTATATGGACCTAGACCAGTGGTTCTCAACCTGAGGGTCCCCAGGTGTTTTGGCCTACAACTCCCAGAAATCCCAGCCAGTTTACCAGCTGTTAGGACTTCTGGGAGTTGAAGGCCAAAACATCTGGGGACCCACAGGTTGAGAAACACTGGCTTAAAGAAACATTAAATCACACAATTGCTTAAAATATTACTTTAGATAGGTTGTTCTAAGGATTTTGCAGAGGAAATATAATTTTCTTTAGATAAGTATCCAGCTCTTTATTTGATTCAAGCAAGTGATGAAGATGTTTCTTGCATTTTAAGTAATATGGCTAGGCATTAAAAAACAAACTTCAGCCCATGTGGTCATTGTGTGCCTTCAAGTCCTTTCTGAATTATAGTGAACCTGTTGTATGTCAGCCTGTTCAGCTTGTGATTGTGTATAATGATCAGATTGCTTTGAATGATGGGTATGACAATGTTGTTCATATTCAAGTTGATTCCACTGATGGGAATGGGAATGCTGTCTATGAAGATGTTCCTGAAGGGAATGGGGATGATGGTCTGTTTCCTGGGCCTGGTTTTAGTGATGGGTGGCTTGAATGCAGTTCAGTTCATGGAGCCCCCAGTGGCGCAGTGGGTTAAACCCCTGTGTCGACAGAACTGAAGACCGACAGGTCGCAGGTTCAAATCCGGGGAGAGGCTGATGAGCAGGGACATGAGAGAAGCCTCCCACAAGGATGATAAAAACATCAAATCATCTGGGCGTCCCTGGGCAACGTCCTCGCAGACGGCCAATTCTCTAACAACAGAAGCGACTTGCAGTTTCTCAAGTCACTCCTGACATGACAAAAAGAAAAGGTTCATGGCTTAGAGAGGCCTGCATTGCTGCAAAAGGAATCTCAAGGTCTTGAGCCTGGGAAAGGCTCTGCACCTGGTCAGTTATCTCCAGGTGCAAATTTTAACAAAGCCTTGAACAGGAGAAGTGCTTTTAGCCAGCAAAGACAAACAAATCAGAAATTAAGGTGCCCAGTCAGATTAGAGCAGAGGTGAGAAGTGAAACCAAAATTGAGGAAAAATCCATTCTTAGCTGTTTGGGAAACAAAGTAGATATATAGTGCCACGTACTGAGTCTAGCTTTAGATGAAGCAATGTTGGATTCACAATAGATTCTTCATGTTAAGTTCCTGGACCTTTGTCTTTGTTTGATTCCTGTTTCAAGTGCCTTGGCTGTTATTTGCCTTTGAATTCAAGCCTCTCGTTTTCTTGGATTTCTGTGGACTGTTTCTCTTTGGATTTATTGCTCTTTTTTACTTCCTAATCAATTGGATTACTTTTTATTGCTTTGGCTTTTATTACCCTCAATAAACTGCTTGCTATTTTAACTCAACTGTATGATGACTAAAGTCAGAGGGAATCCTGTTCTGGAGTGCAACAGAACCTATCATGGCGGTGGTTCTCAACCTGTGGGTCCCCAGATGTTTTGGCTTTCAACTCTCATAAATTCTAACAGCTGGTAAACTGAGATTTCTGGGAGTTGTAGGCCAAAGTACCTGGGGACCCACAGGCTGAGAACCACTGTATCATGGGTTTTTCTTGGCAGAGAGAAAAACCCTGATTTAACACCTCAGGTTAATCACCAGCTGCAGCTGCAATAAACCAAAAGGTTGACAGTTCGAAGCCAGATCAGGGTGAGCTCCTGACTTTCAGCCCAGCTCCCCCGTCCACCTATCAGATCGAAAACAGCAATGTGAGTAGACAAGTAGGAACCACATTAAGTGAGGAAGTATTTTAGGCATAGCGTCTCAGAGGAAAGTTTACAGACAAAGAAAGCTCTTTGGCAAGGGGATGGAAAAACAGGACCCACCCACCCGCACCCCCACCCCCCACCCCCCGTGACCGGAACTGAGCCCAGCCTTCAAACCATGCCATATGCAAAAAGTCTAAATACATCTCTATCTGTTATCTCTCTTGACATTATATAATTGGCATTGAATGTTTGCCGTATATATGTTCTATGATCCACTTTGAGTCCCTTTTGGGGTGAGAAGAGTGGAATATAAGTACTGTAAATAAATAAATAAATAAATATTCTTGTCTTCTTCTAAGGCTGAGGTAGTATGATTCACCCAAGATCATACAGTAGATTTGTATTGCTGAGCAAGGATTCAAATCCTGGTCTCCCAATGTCTAAGTCCAACATTCAAATGGTTATACCATGGTGGTTCCACTGACAGTCATACTCCTGTGATATATGTAGCTGTTATCAGAAATAGGTTCCATTCTATGGCTTTTTACCTGCTTGGTTACGTGAGTGCATCCAGGTCTCGTCAAAGGCACGTTGATACATTCACTGAGGGGGGTAAAAGTGAGTGTAATGGAATTGAGACCAAGAATCTTTAGTTTCAGCTGCTCATTTATCTAAGAATGAAAAGGAAAAAAAAAGGAAAATTCAGGTCTTATGGGATGGTTCCTAGACTGTATTCTTACATATAAGCTAAAATCATGCCATGACACTGAGATTTGAAACAGATAAAGGGTATCACAGTTAGGCTTCACATAAATAAATAAAGGATATACATCAGTTTGGCTTCACATAATTAATTGTGCTGGAGAAATTGTGGCTTTCCATCCACAGCAAAGCCAGGCTTTGGGCAAATGGGGTATTTGAGGTCCAGATAGATGTGAAGCCAATTGTGTGAATGCAATTAACTTGAATTGGCTTTCTTGCTGTTATGTCAGTAGTGGACAAAACAGCCTTAAAATACTGAGGAATGCTTCTTTGAAGATGCCATTTGCATTCCAGGGGAAGCTCACAACTTGTTTCCCTATGCTCATGGATAAGGGGGTGTGTTTAGCACCTAGAGCAAAGCTTTCCAAACATTTCATGTTGGTGACACTTCTTTGAGATGCAGTAATTCAGTTTTACTAGCAAACAGGAAGCTAAACTAACTCCTTGTAAGAGATATTTTGTGTCCTAAGAGATAGGGACACAAAATATATCAGAAAAATCTTATATATTTTAAACATATATGTTGTATTACTTATTTTACATAGACTCAGAACTTTGCCTGACACATTCAGACATTGCAGCCAACACATTAATGCGACATACAGTTTGGAAAGCTCGGATCTAAAGCGTTAGAAAAGTCTTAACAGATTAGGTTCCTGACCATTTCTGTTTGAAGAAAAAAAATACAATTCCAAAGACTGGGGTGCTATTTTTTACTTAGTTTTTTTTTAAAGAACTGTAATGACAACTAGAAGGAGGTGATAAGAAATATAGTTAGTTATCTGCTATTATTGTTGTGTTATTTTTGAAATCTTTCTTGTTTTTAAAAAAAGTAACTAAAAGTTATTTTAGTTATCTTTTTTTCAAGCAACTGAATGTGAAAGCTGCTGACCTACAGTACACAGCTCCTCCTGTCAAATGCAGAATTCCTTCATCTCCACCAATATAGCATAAGCCAGCTGGAGTCTTCCTCCAACATTTAATCTGGTCATTCTCTCCTAACTATAAAAGTAATTAAATGAAATTCCCATTGTGAAAGGTGTAACATCTTTCCATGTTAAGTGGCATTCATCATGTAATGAAGTGGTACCATTATTGGAAAAGACATAAATGATAACTAACTAGTCAATTTTATTAGTTCCTTCCAAGTCCATTAAAGCAATTGGTGGTAGCTACCTTAGTGTGGTTGTATTCGAACATACGCATGCACATGCTACACATTTTAATGCTTTCTGGAAATGCTGGCGCATATGAAATGTCATAATAGAGATGAGTCAAAACAATGGCTTCAAACTACAAGAAAGGAGATTCCATCTGAACATGAGGAAGAACTTCCTGACTGTGAGAGCCATTCAGCAGTGGAACTCTCTGACCCGGAGTGTGGTGGAGGCTCCTTCTTTGGAAGCTTTTAAACAGAGACTGGATGGCCATCTGTCAGGGGTGATTTGAATGCAATAGTCCTGCTTCTTGGCAGGGGGTTGGACTGGATGGCCCATGAGGTCACTTCCAACTCTATGATTCTATGATTCTATGAAATCCTGAAATGGACACTCCAGTCATTATCCCTCTATCCAAGACACAGCACTTCTGGAGATATTTGCAAACTTGAGCTTAACCCAAAAGACACCTGTTCTCAAAATTAAAATACTTGAAACCTGAACCAATAGTAATGATGATTATTATAGTTTCAGTTTCATACCTGAAAGTCTACTGACTGTAGGACCTGGTTTTTGGAATACCAGCTCCACTGATGGGTTAGAAAACCATCTTTATCTCTGACACTTCCTCCATCATGATTCATCAGCAGTGCTATTGAGCAGCTAAGTGAGAGGAAACACAGTTAAAGTAGTTCACCTTCACACAAAAAATAAGTTCTAACATCTCTAATGATCACATTAATATTGTGAAATGAATAATAAAATTATAAGGTATGAATTGGTTTGATATCTAACATCTTAGACCAATATAACTGGTCTAAACTTCCTATTTATTTATTTATTTATTTATTTATTTCCGCTATTGGTATACCGCATTTATCAGCCGTGACCGGCGACTCAATGCGGTTTACAGTAAAAGTTGTGCACACTAACAATGTAAAGACAAACATACACAAACGACACACATATAGACATCAACGCCTCACATAAAATCAGATTCCGTTCTCACATTCCATTGCCGTTCCTTGTTCAGTTATGCCGTCTTCCTGGATTTAATTGCAATTGCACAGCTATCCGAACGCCTGCTCAAAGAGCCACGTCTTAACCCTCCTCCGAAACAGCAGCAACGAAGGGGCCTGCCTGATGTCCGCTGGTAGGGCATTCCATAGCCGAGGGGCCACCACCGAGAAGGCCCTAGATACGGGCGCAGCTGGCGCACGAGTTTTAATTGTGCAAATACTCCCCTGGAAACCGCTGAAACCTGGGGTTCCAAGCTTAGCGAAGAATCCAGGGTCACACCCAAGCTGCGAACCTGCGTCTTCAGGGGGAGTGCGACCCCGTCCAGCACAGGCTGTAACCCTATACCCTGTTCGGCCTTACGACTGACCAGGAGTACCTCTGTCTTGTCTGGATTGAGTTTCAATTTGTTCACCCTCATCCAGTCCGACACAGCGGCCAAGCACCGGTTCAGGACCTGGACAGCCTCCTTAGTAGTAGGTGGAAAGGAGTGACAGAGTTGGACGTCATCTGCGTACAGATAACACCGCACCCCGAAACTCCGGATGATCTCTCCCAGCGGCTTCATGTAGATGTTAAATAACATGGGGGACAATATTGAACCCTGCGGGACCCCACAAATCAATGGTTGTGCGGCCGAGCAGTTGTCCCCCAGCAACACCTTCCTAAATACATGACAAAAGCTACAACTAACAAATTAGAGGGGAATGGCTTCCAACTATCTTTTTTGCAATTGTATCTTAAGTCTTAAATTCCTGCTCTCACTGTACATTAACCATCTAATTAACAAAACTATTAGTCACAATCATTCCCCAAAATGTCAGATGGAGAATTTCAGTCTTTCAAAAATATTGTTAATGTTTTTTTTTCTTGAAGTAAAATAGCAAATTTATCATTCTTTTTAAATAACCATCCTCTCTATTTTAATAATCAGTCTTCGTCAGTAACACAGGAAGTCCCCAAGTTACGGACAAGATAGGTGATGTAGGTTTGTTCTTAAATTGAATTTGTAAGTCAGAACAGGTACATTTTAAAAAATGTAACTCCAACCAATGTTTTAGTTTTGATAGCATAGGGAAGGCTTAACACCCTGTGGTATTTGTTTTGTTGTCTATGTGCCTGTTCAGAAGATTTCACCTCACTTTCTTTCACTGTGAGAATTGGATTTTGAAAAAATTGGCTTGTTGTGGAAACAAGGCTTGGTGTGAAAACTTCAGTTGAGACACCTTTTCCCCATGACAATTGCTCCTCCAGGAATGAATTTCCCTTCTGAGGGGTAGATTTCTCTCACTTCCTGTTGTCTCACCCTTGTTCTTAACTATGAGTCATTTGTAAGTTGGATGTTTGTAACTCAGGGACTGCCTATAAATCACTTTTCTAATGCATGTTGTCATGTACTGAAATATTCAGATGTTGTCATGTACTGAAATATTCTTCCATGGCTCCTGTCTAACTAATCATCCATCACTCCCAAAAAAAGATAAGATTTTAATTTTAATTGGCTCTTTAATTTGTGAGGGTCAAACTATGCATTTGGACCCAAGTTTTTAGCTTTTTCACAAGTCCATGGAACAGAAAACCCTTCTTCCTCATCACATTCCCAACATACATTTAAGTTTCTTTGACAATTTCTCTAATGTCAAATACCAATAGCACATCATTTTGCAGATGTTCTCTTTAAGGTCATAACACAGAGCAGATTTCCAACCTTTCAGCCACATGTCTTCTCACTATTCCATTTATATGTTATATCCAATGTTTTTCTCCCTGAGCAACACCATGTGGCATAACCATTAATTACACTCAATGTCATTCAGCTTTCTAAATCTGCAGCAACCATTTCCAATATAGCACACTTTAAAGATTTTAAAGAATGAGAGTGATTACATATATCACACATGTAAAGAATGATAGATGATAATCATAATAGTAGCAGACTCAGTGGATCTAGACGAATAATCGACTATAAGGCACATTGAATTTAATTGGGCTTAAAATCCCTGGATTCTTTATCTGTGTCACTGACCAGTTAAATGACATTGGACAGTTATCTAAGCATTTTGGGGTGTTTTCTGATAATTTGTCTATAAAATTAATGCTGCTTTCACATGACACTTACGACAGTAACAAGGAAAACACACTTCTGCAAGTATTCATTACTGTCTTTAGAGTGTTGAAGATGCTGCCTCTAAAAGAACCTTTGCACCTTTTAAAAAAATCTTTATAGAAGGCCCATGTAGGTACCATAATAACCACCTCACATTCTGGATAAACATCATTTCCCAAAACCTAGCAGATTAATCATCTGTTGCACTTGGCCCTCTCACAGTCCAAAACTTCAATGCATGCCACTCACTTGGATTTAAAAGAGTAGGATACACATGCATGTGCTGGTGGTATTAATATACCCAGAAGTCCTTCATTTGGAGTATCCTGAAACAGAAGGGTGATTGCTCTTCCTCCACAGCACGTGGGAAACTGGCACATTGCAATACATCCTGATGGGTAACTTTAAAGCAGGTCAAAGAATATCACACAGTAAAATGGCATTTATCTACTATTCGTTTAGGAGACGTGAGATAACATAAGCACACTCTGTGGAAACTCTGAAATGAGCTCCTCCCAATGATATTGTTATATTCATACCAAACCCGGTTTCATCAGTCTCAGGCTGCTTCCACTCAGCTGAAGAATAGCCAGATTCGCCTGCTCATCTAATGTGTGTATAATACTGAACACTGCACATAAACTTGGACTTCTTCCAGGGTGCTAACTTTCCACATACGCAAGTAGGAAAAACATGGTGTTGTAGCCAAGAGAGTCCTTCCACCAGCAGAACTAATTAAAGAAATTTATTTATTTATTTACTTGTGATATGTATATACAACCCTTCTCAACCCCGAAGGGGACTCAGGGCGGTTCACAGTGTTGGCAACAATTCAATGCCATTGATAAAAACAGCATAAAACACTAAAATTGACCCTCCCCAGATAAAACATTAGACATTATTAAACACATCACGTAAAATAACATCGCCTATCACACAGAGACATAGCCATTGTTGTAAACAGTCCTTGGTCATTGCACTTTCAACTTTCACTTGAACTTTAAATATTTCTATGATGGGCCGAACGCTTGGTTCCACAGCCAGGTCTTTGGCAGTCTCCTGAAAGTCAGGAGAGAGCGGGCTGACCTGATTTCACTCGGGAGGTTCCAAAGCCATGGGGCCACCTCTGAGAAGGCCTTGTCCCTCATCCCCACCAGCCACACCTGTGAGGCTGGTGGGGCTGAGAGCAGGACCTCCCTGGAAGATCTTAATCTACAAACGGGTTCATAGAGGGAGATACGTTCAGACAGGTAGGTTGGACCGGAGCCATTTAAGGCTTTATAGGCTAAAGCCAGCACTTTGAATCATGCTTGGTAGCTAATGGGCAGCCAATGGAGATGCTGCAACAGGGTGGTTGTATGCTCCCTGTGCGATGCCCCAGTTAACAACATAGCTGCAGCGCGTTGGACTATTTGCAGCTTCCAAACAGTCTTCGAAGGCAACCCTTCCTCTTACATCCCCCATTGTCTCCCTCACTCCTGAGGATTGGGGCTCAAGCAGGAGGAAGAAAAAGTGAAGACCTTTTTCAAAAAGAAAACCCAACCTACATGACACAAGATCTTTACTGTTCACTGGATTTTTGCAGTGATTAGGGTAGTGCTTCTTGTCTGTTGTACCTTCTTGCATGCGAATCCTTGCCAGCTTGCTGCTGGTGAAGCTTTACTCATACAGCTGCCGGATAAAGTCAGTCCACTAGAGCAGAGCGTGGCTCTGTCTGTTAAGCAGCTGGCCTCTGAGGGATTATTTCCCTCTCACATCTTCATCAGCGCTACCGCAGAACACGAATCTACCAGCGAAAGTGGCGAGCTAGAAAGAGGGGGTTGTAAAGAACTTAAAATGAGCCCTTTGTGTTTAACACACCAGGCTAGAAAGCAGAGGCTGACAAACAGAATCACTGGCACGACATTAGTGATATGAAATACCACACTAAGAGCCCTTCATCTTTAATTCTCAATATGCTGGAAAGATCAAGCAGAACATGCATTTCTTTAGAACTACTCTAAATGAACCAATGCCAAGTGGTTGTCAAAGAAATTGAGGGAGCAGGAAGGAGGGATAGCAGGATTCCTAATGGGCTCAATTTGGTCTGGGTTTAGATACTGAGCAGGATTAAAAAGTGCAGGTTCTGCCCCAAATGAAATTTTCCTTGTGTTGCTATGAGTTTTCTGGGCTGTATGACCATGTTCCAGAAGCATTCTCTCCTGACATTTCATTCACATCTATGGCAGGCATCCTTTGAGAATGCCTGGCATATGCATAGATGTGGGTGCAACGTCAGGAGAGAATGCTTCTGGAACATGGCCATACAGCTCGGAAAACTCACAGCAACCCAATGATTCTGGCCATGAAAGCCTTTGACAACACATTGAACATCTCTATGGGTGAAATTTTTCATCATTCTCTACATCTATAGAAATAAAAATGTAATGTTAGTTTGTGGGATTAACATAACTCAGAAACCACTGGATGAATTGACACCAAATTTGGACACAATACACCCATCGGGCCAATGAGTGACTATCACCCATAACCCCCCCCTCAAAAAAAAAGCAGCAGAAAGGACCAAAAAAACTAAGTGACAATACAGATGCAGATGCCTGGCTTACTAACCATGTAGTTCTTGCTTTGCAGAGAGCAGAGATGCACCTCTCTCAAGTGCTGCCTTTGAAGCCAACTCTTTTCCAGCCTATGTCTAGAGGGAAGGAATGAAGGAGGGAAAGGGGGAAGGAAGAAAGGAAGGAAGGAAGGAGAGAAGGAGGGAGGGAAAGAAGGAAATAAGGAAGGAGGAAAGGAAAGAGGGAATGAAGGAAAAATGCAGAAAAGCAAGGAAGGAAAGAAAGAGGTAAAGAAGGAAGGAAGGAGAGAATAGGAGGAAAATAAAAGGGGGGGTATGCGGGAAAGAGGTAGAGAAGGAGGGAAGGAAAGAAAAAAGAAAAAGAAGGAAGAAAGGAAAGAGAGAGGGAAGAAAAGAAGGAGAGAAAGAGAGGGAAGGAACAAGGAAAGAGAGTAGGAAGGATGTTTTTAATCAATTGTTTAATTACTGTTTTTAATATTTTCATATATTGCTGATTGTTGATTTGTTTTCATGATGTTGGCATCCTATGATGCTTTTGTGAGGCTGCCCTGAGTACCCCCTTGGGGGTGAGAAGGGTGGGGTAAAAATATAATAAATAAATAAATAAATAAATAAATAAATAACCAATGAGCGAAGGAAGGAAGGAAGGAAGGAAGGAAGGAAGGAAGGAAGGAAGGAAGGAAGGAAGGAAGGAAGAAGGAAGGAAAGAGGAGAGAAGGAAGGAAGGAGAGAAAGGAAAAGGGAAAGAGAAGGGAAAGTAAGGAAGGAAGGAAAGAGGGAGGGAAGGAAGGAAGGAGAGAAAGAAAGAAAGAAAGAAAGAAAGAAAGAAAGAAAGAAAGAAAAGGAGAAAAAGAGAGAGGGAAAGTTGGCCAAAGCAACGCGTGGCGGGTACAGCTAGTTTCTAATATTGCAGTAATGTAAAGCTTCAGGCCAGCATGTAGGAAAAGTTCTAGGTGGGAATTATTTTCAGTGTTTCACTCTCTGCAATGCTGGACTGAACTATCACATTAATGATTTGTAAACTTCTTCTGGTTGAAGGGCAAGGCATCCATGCTTCAACAAATGAATGACTAAATAATCCATCCCTTTGTTTATCAGCAAAACTAAGGATACTACATCGTGGCTGTTCCATCTGGAAGGAGAAAGTACATCTTCTTCGCCCTTGAACGTCTGATCTCTGCAGCTACTTGGGAACCCGAAGCTCTTTTCATAGCATGGGATGGTGACTTGTGGACAGTGATATAATTCCTCAGTATGAGGGCCCTTGTATGACCCTTTGCTATGGCCGCAGCGTTCTCCTCTTCTCTAGAAGGGAGAGAAGCAACCAATAAACATATAAGTAAAGAGAATTGGAATGGCAGTGCATCGCATAAATTGATATCTATTCCGGGATTTTTTTCACAATGTTCTTAAACGAGACAAGGCTATAACATTTGGGGATGATTAACTTAGGGAAAAGGTGAGTAAGGGCAGCAGTGATCATAGAATCATCAAGTTGGAAGAGACTTCGTGGGCCATCCAGTCGAACTCCCTGCCAAGAAGCAGGAAAATGATAGAGATGTATAAACATATGAACGGTGTGCTGATAGTGGATAAAGAGATGCTTGTCTGTCATAATATGGTGAAAATTCTGGGACATTTTGTATAAAAGTAAAAGACAAACTCTATCTGAACAAATCTTGCCAAGAAATCCCTGTCATAGGTTTGCCTTAGGGTTGCCATAAGTCAGAAAGAAAATGATGCCAGGGCAGGCAAAATATCCAAATTCATGCCAATCAAGAGAGTAAAATGCAAGGTGATTGATTGGTTGATAGGTTGATTGATTATAAATAAATAAATAAATAAATAAATAAATAAGATTGGATGGACTAGGACTCAAACTCATTCTAAGATATCCCCACATGAATGAATGCTATAAAGTGGTTCTCAATCTGTGGGTCCCCAGATGTTTTGGCCTTCAACTCCAAGAAATCCTAACAGCTGGTAAACTGGCTGGGATTTCTGGGAGTTGTAAACCAAAACACCTGGAGACCCACAGGTTGAGAACCACTGTATTAGAGCAACTTGCGCTACTGTCAATAAGAGTAAGATAACCTCAGTCCGGAGTCTTTGAAAATACTTACATATGTTTACAAATTTCTCGGAGCTTCTCCCTAGCTAAAGGGCAGGGATCAAATTTATCCAGTAAACTTTCTTTCTCACGAACAGCGCTACCACTTTTCTCTTTAAGCAGACCTGGAAAAATGTATTTTGAAGTGAAGGTTAAGAAAGGCAGTTCCCTCAAGAGCATCCTGTAAATCAGATCCATAAATGAATTGAAAAAAAACAACACCCACTTGCTACTTCTTCTCTATTATTCCAATCTCATTGTGCTTACAAAGAAATCCACGGTCAATTTTAACCTATGAATTTAAACTTATATAATGGTATAAATGATTTTAACATATATTGATATCATATCTGTCTTATAATATACATGTTTTGATGGTCTTGTTTTTATCTATATAGTTTAAGTGTATTGTACCCTGCCCCGAACCTTGAGAAGAAGCACGTAAAATTCTTTGAAATGGAAAAATCAAATAAGGAGGAAGAATATCAGAGTGAGAACATTGCCTTAAAATGATATACATATGCATGTTTTTGACACATTTTTAATGCTTTTGGAGAAGATGTTATGCACTATTTACTGTTCCAAGCAGAACCTGGAAAATGTTATTTAGTAGGGCTAATTTATTTATTTATTTATTTATTTACTATACTTATATCCCGCCCTTCTCACCCCAAAGGGGACTCAGGGCAGCCTTACAATTGGCAGCAATTTGATGCCATATCAACAAACATATAATAAAATAAACATATAAATTACATTATAAATTAAAAAGCAATATAAACATTCAAACCATTACTGAAACCATGCAATCCAAAATCATAGTCAAAAACCATTCCAGTCATTATTGCACATATTCCAACTTAACTTATTGCATTGTACTACTAGCCAAAGGCTTGGTCTCAGACCCATATTTTTTACTTTCTTTCTGAAGGTCAGGAGGGTGGGGTCTGACCTGATTTCACTGTGGAGTTCCATAGCCGAAGGGCCACCACTGAGAAGGCCCTGTCTCTCGTCCTCACCAACCGCACCTGCAAAGGAGGTGGGACTGATAGCAGGGCCTCCCCAGACAATCTTAACCTCCGAGGTGGTTCATAGAGGGAGATGTGTTCAGACAGGTAAGCTTAGGGCTTTATAGACTAAAACTAGCACTTTGAATTGTGCCTGGTAACAGATGGGCAACCAGTAGAGTTGACATAACAGGGGAGTTGTATGCTTCCCTGTATGTCACTCTGGTGAGAACTCTGGCTACTGCCCATTGGACCACTTGATGTTTCCAAACAGTCTTCCAAAGCAACCCCACATAAAGCGCATTTCAGTAATCTATTTGGGATATAACAAGAGTGTGGCTATTCAGATTGGATTATAATTCTCAGGTGTTCTTAACAGCAGGGCTTGCAAAGGTGCTGCTGAATGTTTACCATCCACATTCTACCCAGAGTTCAGAAACCCAGAGTTAAACAAAAGGTTTTTTTTTACAGTTCCTAAACTTGATTTCTATTTATTCCTATTATATCTTGCTTGATGCATCACACTTAATGGCATCAATATAGGGGCACCCTTTGCTCTCATGCTTTGATTCTGACATTTCAAGGCCTATGATGCTCCTGACCTGGCAACCCTAGGTACAATCTACTGATCAAAGCATTGTGCACCAATAATAGCTATATCTAAGCCTGTTCACATTCACCCCACACACCATGTGGATGACAGATCATCCCCATGGCACCACTCTGCCCAGTGCCAGCTCTCTTCCTGTACAAAATATGATACAACATTACCTCAGAGGGACCATACACAATCCCTATGTCATGGCTGCATTAGGGACAGCAATAGGCAACTGACATCATACTTTTTAGACCTCCTCTCAGACAGAATTATCTTGGATCTTTCCATATGGCCATGGTCCGTACTATTTTTGTTGGCAAAAAGAGAAAGAATGCATATTCCAGAATATGTTGTTTTATAAGTTAGTGGGTTGGAAGCATTGAATGAGCATCACTTCCACCCACATCAAGGGACCCTTTGGCATAAGAACTGTGCTTCTGCCCTCCATGTTACACACATCCAGTGGTGTCTATAGGCTTGTTTGGATATCTAGTCTCAGTTTAAGACCTGTGAAGCCATCTGGGGAAAAAGTGTGGCAGCTCTACTTCCCATCCATAAGTGATAAATCCAAAAGGAGGCATTGGACTTCCATTAGGAGTATCATAACCTTTTTAAACCTTGAAATGTTGTCCTTTGGTTATAAGGTCTAATAGGTCCCATCAAAACTTTTGGTTTTTTCATTCTATAATTTCTAGGAATTCACATTTACCTGAAACTTTTGGCTGCTTGCTGTCTTTTAGTGATAACGAAAAACAAAGACAGGAAACTGACATTTGCTGTACAAGCTGGGTGGTGGAAGAGATCTGGACCACAGGTAATGCTGGAGCCATACCACGTCCTGTTCATTAAAGCAGAAAGCAAACGTTATTTCTTTTGAACTCATTAAAAGAAAAGACGAAGAGAACTATGCATAATATCAAGTCAATTGCCAGAAAAGTTTGTTAGAGAAGAGAAAAAAAATGAGGTGTGATGCCACTTGTTCAGGGACAGCTTTAGTTGATGTTTGTGTTACAGAGCTTCAGTTCTCAACCTGGACAAGTTCTACACTATTTTTTCCACCTCTGGAAATTGAGATTATAATACTTTGTTCATGCTTTGTTGCTTCAATAAAAAACATATTGATTAGTATTTCAATTCCAAACTATGTGCAAGCGCCCAATTTTTGTGTAGTGTTGATAGTATTGGTTGTTTAGATTTCAAAAGACACAACACAAATGAATCTACAAGACTTGATAAAACCGCCAGTCTTTATTGCCCCACATTAGTGTGTATGGGCTATTTCAGTGGTGCGGTTAGATAAATTCTGCACTGAGCAGCTACAGTGGGGGTGAAGGCTTTTCAGATAGTATGTCTAATCTATTACTTCATTTATTTCAAAACTTCCAATTCATTAATTAATCCCCCCTCTTTCACTCACTGTAGGACCTGAGACAGCCTATGATATGAGTTAAAACAAAAATAGCAAAACAGTCTGTGGCACAAAAATTTAAATTCCATTAAACAACCAATCCCATTAAAACAGTCATTTAAAACAATTAAAAAGAAAATCAGCAACACATTACGCTGGAAATAACACATTTATAAAGACAGCACCCTCTTTCAGACAGTCATATCAAATATGTAGTTGTTTCTCAGGATCTAGATATGTTATCTCCCCCCTCCCCCCATTGTTCAAAATTCTATTAAAATCTGTCATATTCAATAATACAGGCACGGTTTGATAATCAGTGGAAGCAGAATTGGAGGAGAATTTATAAGAAAACACCTGATAATTCAGGATGAGAATATCTCCAATGGATTGAAGTCCTTCTGCAAAGGAGAGAAATTTTTAAAAGGTGGCTGTCAACAAAGCATCACTTTTCTAAAAGCAGTTTAAATTATTGTTATTCATTACCATCCATCTGAACAATTTCTTTCCTGGTTTACACTAAGATGGGCAAAATGCTGTTCTCTGTATGTTGTTGAACTGCAGCTCCCAGAATTCCTATTTGAATATGATGACTAGGTTTGATGGGAGCTTTAATCCAACAACCTCAAAAGAGCTGTTTTTGCTCATCCCTAATACAGATTTATTAGAGCGCTAGATTTATCAAGCGAAGGTTTATTGTTATTACCGCCACCTGTAAATCCCATCAGATGGCAATATAAGTAAAAGGCCTTTCATGTGGTGGCATCCAGACTCGAGAATAAACCCTGTGAAATATTATGCCATCAATGATGCTGCGTTTTCAGCATGTATTTAAAACTTACTTAATTAGCCTGCTGATTATTAAATTATCAAATACTGTTTTATTACACTTTGAAACATTGAATCTGCTCTTCAGAAGCTACACAATCACCGGCTGACAGTAGCAGGTGAGTAAGAATATTAGAGAGAAGCAAACTAATCTGGTCATGGCTAGAAGAGGGGGCCAAGTGTCCACTGAATTATGTTCATATAGTGAGGTTTTTTTTGGGGGGGGGGGGTAGGAGGAAGACAGGAGTGAGAATTACAACTCTCCAGATCTTGGACTGCAGGCCCCAGCAGCACAGCCAATGTTAAGGAACTCTGGGGATTGAATTACTCTTAAACAGCATTAATCCTACAGTTTAGATGCTGTCTTAAATCCCATGGTTGGAGGAGAAAAGGTAGAATAACAATAAGAATAGCAAGTTGAAAGCTAGAGCACAACTTACGTTCGAGAATTGCACGCTCTAGAGACATCTCACTCTGCCCAAAAGCCAGATCATTAAATATGCCACCATCAATGTTTAGTTCCACAGATATTAATCTTCTACAGTAGCCACAGTGGTCATGCTGTATGTACATAGATCTTTTCCATGTAGGGAGACCCTCTATTCCATGACACAAAGGCACAACACAAAGGCGCAACAAAGTGGGCAAAGTCAGTAAGCTACTTGTAAGCTCAAAGCCTAATAAGAAGTGTTGGCAGTCATACGGTGCTCCTTCCCAAAGAGTATATGAGCACAATCTCTCAAAAAAGAGATTTTTCTCCTCTTTCCTTTTGAAATTATCCTATCTCTTCTATCACTCAAGGATGCTTCCAGTATATATGTAGACAAGATAACCATATGTTTAGCCTTTCCACCATGTTTTCGCTACTACTTTTTTTTCATGTCAGAAGTGACTTGAAAAACTGCAAGTCGCTTCTGATGTGAGAGAGTTGGCTCTCTGCAAGGACATTGCCCAGGGGATGCCTGGATATGTTACCATCCTGTGGGAGGCTTCTTTCATGTCCCTGCATGGGAAGCTGGAGATGACAGAAGGGATCTCACCCCATCTTGTGGATTTGAACCGCTGACCTTCAGGTCAGCAGTTCAGACGGCACAAAGATTGAACCCATTGCACCATCACGTCTCACTACTACTTATATACATCATCTGGATCTATGCAAGCAGTATGGAAATGAAAGCACATGCAGCACCAGAAGAGAATAGATTTGGCATAATAGAGGGGACTCTCATATCATATAGACATATAATGGCTTTGTTACTTTGCTGACCTTTCTTCCTTGGTTCTTTGCCTATGATTTCAATTGCTTCTTCTGTGGTTTTAGGACATAGTTGTCGACCAGCTTCCAGGAGAATCCTTGAAATCTCTTCACTGCTGGGGCCTGGGAAAGAGATATGGTGGTTGAAAAGAAAGTGTAAGATTTGTTGTTTGTTTTCAAGCTGTTTCTGGCTTATTTTTGCTGTCAGGTCTGCTTATGCTTCAATGATAAATAGTGACCATAAATAAAATGTCAAAATGAATGCAATTTTTAGGGGCAGAAAATTTTGAGGTGTTTGAGACTCCTATCAGCCCATTAACATAATCAATTATCAGGGGTTATGAGGGCCTAACTCAAGATCAGGACCAAAAGGATTTTCTAGTATTGAGGTAGACAATAATACAAGAGCCAGGAAGCAATCAGATTCCCAACTAGCAGTGGCTCCTTGACTGTGCTCCCAAATGCCTTTATTTGATTGTTTATTATTTGATATTCCTTATTATGTTATGTTCCTTAAGCATTGAATGTTTGCTGAAGTTTTGTTGTACACTGCCCTGAGCCCTTCTTGGGAGATAGGGCAGTATAGAAACAAAGCATTATTATTATTATTATTATTATTATTATTATTATTATTATCTTCATTTGAGTCCTTCCCAAAACTATTTGAAGTGACATTGAATCGCTTCCTGTTACCATTTTTAAAAGGCCTCGTATCAAAAACCACTGCATAGCTTTTGAGTGAAAAAATGCATGATCCAGATTTTTGAAAGGCAGCCTTGGTCAGACAACAGAGCTTGTTGTCCACACAACATGAATATATAGCAGCAGGTGACAATTTTTCCCCATGCTATACACACATTTAGAACATGCCCCCATTTATATGACTGTGCTTCTGTAAGAAATGCAGCAGTCCGCATCACCAGCAACACTCCTTTTTCAGGGTTCTAGACTGCAGTGATACTGCATATACCTGTAGGCTCCCTGCAGATGTGAGGTGCCTTCCATCATATGTACCTTCATCACACCCAAGGGAGGATAAACCTTTTTGTTTGAACCAGTTCAGAGTTTCCAGATACACCATATAGACAAGTAAGCACAATTAGTTGATCTCACCAGCAATTGCATCAATCATTATCCTCATCTTCATCTTCAACAATTCAGTCAAGAGAAAGACTGACCGTTTTTGGAACTTGAGGAGTATCTGTTGATTTTCAAATGAAGGGGTCACAAGGTTGGGCTTTAACATTGAGACAGGAGGGGTCGACTTCTGTGCTCTGGATGTCGGAGTGGAGGAAAAGTCAGGCTCTTCAAAAGGAAGGAATTTGACAACTGGACAATACAGACCAGTGAAGGATTTCCTTGGCGGTGACACCATGAGTTCATCCCATGTGAACTCAAAGATATTCCTGACACCTCGTGGCACATGGAAGCCCATTTTTTGCCATGTGAGAAGCATCTGCACCATCTCAGCCAAAATCCTTGGTGCCTTGGCTTTAACTTGTTCATAGCTGAGGCTTTTCTTTCTTTCAGGCTTAGGTTCAAGCTTTTGCTCAAGCTTTGGGCTATCCTTTTGATCGCTCTTTGGGCTACTCTTTGATTCACTTTTATTGTCCCCCTTAAGGTCAGCCTTCTGGTCACTCATGAGTTAAAGAGGATGCAAGGAGATCTAAAGCAAGAGAAGAAGATTGAAGAGAAAGATCTCTGTGTCACTGTTTTTACGATTTTTCAGAGAGTCATGTGAAGTCTGTGTCACTCTATAAAGGACAATTCTAGTACTTTCTTACAGAAAAATCAATTGTATGTGGGAGATATGTGGAATGTAGCAGAAAGGTACATCAGCCCCAGACCATGCAAGGCCTTAAATATTGACTATTTATTCACAGTGTCATTACTTGCAGCGATAGCCGATGTAGTGAAGCAACCAAGTTGGGTGTTTGTGTGTTGAATGCTCTCATTAAGGAGGCCAGACTTGGTGGAGGTGGTTGACAGGGGCGGAGCTGCAGGCTATTGAAGGCTGCTGTGCCCCCTGCTGTGCTCTTTGCTTCAGTGAGCTAGGAGGCAGGTTTCTACCCCCCCCCCGCAAAATTTTCAACCCCTCCCCCTGAAAATTTCAACCCCTCCCAAAAATTTTTCTAGCTATGGCCCTGGATGGACTAACCTTAAAAAAGAACAAAATATGGAGGAAAACCAGGAAGGGAAAGACAACTGAATCTCATTAGCTTCAATGTCTTTCAGATTCATTATACGAGACATAAATGGATTAGCTCAGGCATGGGCAAACTTTTTTGTCATGGGGCCACATTGTGGGCCTGGCCAGGAGGACTGGACCTGGAAGAAAGGGGGCCAGGCACACACTGGGAGGAGGAGAGGGCAGGGTCAAGAGGGGGCAGGGCAGGACGTGGGTTATCTTCAGGTTGTCCTCCCAGCATAAGGATGGGGCTGCTCTCCCTATCCTTATGCCAGGAGGAAGGCAGGAAATGAGGTCACTGCCCCGATCCTTCCCCCCCTTCCCTCTGATCCTCGTGTTGTCCTCTTGGCATGCCAGGAGGGAGGTGAGACAGGCATTGGTTGAGAGTGCTCCGGAGGGCTCTCAGCCACCACATGCTTTCTTAGAGCCATCCTCTCATCATAAAAATGGAGCTGCTCGCACTGTCCGTATGTCAGGAGGAAGTCAAGACGCACTATGGGTGAGAGAACTCCAGAGGACTCTCAGTTGCTACATGCCTTCTGCCCCCCCCCCCCCAAATCTTTTTGGCATAAGGATGTGGAAGGCCTCTGTGTCCTTCTGCCAAGAAGACACAGAAAATGAGGAAGGCCTGAGATAAGCACCCAGGGGGTCGCATCCACGCCCCACCCCCAGACCTTAGTTTGCCCACTCCTGGATTAGCCCCTCTTTCTTAAAATGTAGTATATTAATGGATTATGGGATACTGAGTATTCCAAATATATTATTAATGGATTATTTGGAATACTGAGTATTCCAAATTTTGCATCCATGTACTTCTGATGTTCTTGGAAGGATACCTTTAGAGAAATTATAAGTATTTGGCCTCAAGACACAAGTTCATGCAATAGGCTTGAAGAACAAGAAGCAAATTGAACTATCACATTTAATTGAGAACACTATGAACATTAAAACATGGATTAAGGGGACATTTAAACTTCCCAGCTCCAGCGGCTGTGCTTGTTTTTATTGTCCCCAAGTTTGCCAATGAGAGGTCCAAAAACAGTCTCAGGCCATTTCAAGTGTGACAAATAAATTACTTTTGATTTAATTAGAAAAGTGCAAATGAAGCTCTTTCTCGATTACAAAGTAAAACTTTCAGCTGGAACTAATAAACTGCCAGTCTAAATTTTATGTAAGTGCAGTTTTCTATGACAAGCTAGAGGCTGATTTCCTCAGTACTGAAGAATGAGCAATTAAGTTTGGGTTCCTTGCTCAAGTTAGGACTTTGGAGCGTTGTTGCATTTGTTCAGGCCTACCTTTATTCAAACTATTCAGAGCTATTGCCATTGTCATTTTCCCTCTTCATACAAAATGCTGCCAAAGAAAGCCACCACCTCCTTTTTAAAATCAATATTTCGAAAAGATTTTCTCCTGATGGCAGGTGATGTTTGGTTTTTCTTTTTTATCTTGAAAGAGTACACTGCCTTACTTTAGGACAAAAGTATACTGTATGGCATTCCATTCTCTATTAGAAATAGTGACCACCCAAGTGAAGTTGTGGAGCCATGGATTAATGATAGAGGACCTAGTTTGCATGAAGCAGGTAAGAGGGTCAATCCTTGGCATCTCCAAAAGGGTCTGGAAACATGCCCGAAGCCCTGGGAGTTCCTGCCAGTCAGCTCAGGTAATGATAAGCTAAAGAAGCTAGTAGTCTGACTACAGAATATCGCATTTTTAGGGAGAAATTATTAACTGTGTTGCAGAATATTGTAAAAAAACTGCTCAGCTCAATTCAATTTTCAGCCGTCACATTCCAAATGTTGCCATCTACTGCTTTTCAGCCTTATATATAACTATACCACAAACTATATACATAACTATAGCACTATACCACAAACAAATAAACAGTGTGGTATATTGGTTAGAAAGAACTAGTAGTGCTAGGGAGAGCCCAATTCAAATTCTAACTCAGCCATGAAAACCCTAAGTAACTTGGGCTTGGTCACTGTCTCGTAGTTTGTCCTACCTTGCAATGAATGATGGAGACCAACAAATACCTTTGGATTATATAGTTGTCTTGAGGTCATATGTGGTGAAGGGTTGGAGAGGTAGAAATCTCTTAGATAAGAAATATCACAGGCAATCATTGCTCACGTCACACAATAGGCACAATTACTCAGTTCTTCTTCCACCTAGGGAATAGCATCAAGAAATCTCTATATACATAAACAAACACACTCTAACAGTATATTTTTTGAAGCATATATTGCCAAGAAACATGAAATCTAACCTTTGACTGGAAAAGATTTGGCATGGCCCACTCTCACCACAGATGATGTTTCATAGCATTACTATGTGGAAGATGGGACGATGTGGCATATTCTATATGACATCTATTCCTTATGTCATAACAGGAGAGAATCTTCTAACTTGGATTCTTTAGGAAAAGAACTGTGTTCTTTGGGAGACTTGGTCAGACCTCTCAAGGTCTTTAGTAGTGGAAGAAAAGCAGTCGAAGTCCAAGAAAGATTAACACGCCATTTCCCCCAATGCTTCAGACTTGATTGGGGAAAACTGAAATTTACACAGAAGTTCTAAGGAATATACATAGCAACTTCAGGAGATTGGAATGGCATGGTACTCAGTGGTATATCATGTGTTTTGCACACAGAAGATTGAAGGTGCCGTGTTCAAGTAGAGCCCAAAAACATCCCTCTGACATCCCAGAGCACTGGTCATAGTAAATATGAGGCAATGTGAGAGTGTTTGTCCCTAAAAGTTTGGAAGAAGAGCTGTAATGTGGAAATGTTCAGTTCCTAGTATGTCCAGGTAAGTTTGCATAAAATACAACTCTGAAAAGTAGAGTTTCTACTAGTTAATATAGACCAGGGGTTAACAACATGCAGTCCCTGGACAGCCAGAGTTTATAGTCCAGTTCCATGCAGCTTTCAGACTACTTGACAACAATTCAGACCCACCAGCTACACTCAGAAATAGCACATTATAACCCTACAGAAGCTTTCTCTGCTGCCCTGGAGACTAGGGTCCAAAGCAATGGGCTCAAATTAATGGAGAAGAGATTCTACCTGAACATTAGGAAGAACTTCCTGACTTTGAGAGCTGTACAGAAGGAAAAATCTCAGCCTCTGAGTCTGGTGGATGCTCCTTCTTTGGAGGCTTTTAAACAGAGGCTGGGTGGCCATCTGTTAGGAGTACTTTGATAGTGCTTTTCCTGCATGGCAGGGGGTTAGACTAAATGGCCCATGCAGTCTCTTTCAACTCTATTGTTCTATGATTCTGTCTTATTTTTAAGATTGTGAAAGAGCGACCCTATCTGCTACCAGTTACAACACCATATGCCTTTCATAAAGGTCAACAATTATCCATACGAAGAACATTTTTTCACCTCACTATACATTTCCAATGGGAAATATTTGTTTCCTCAGATAGTATAAAGTAACATAGCTTCTTTTACTGTATTCTTTCTCCTCACAGGTCTAAAAAAATGATTTTATGTCAGTTTTCCCACTGGATACACTGCCAAATCGAATGTAGCTGTTCTTCACATGGAAGTCAAAACTCAAAAGGCATAAAATAGTGTTACTTTATGTGTAACCGTCAATGTTTCGATCATCTGCTGCCACCTACTGGTCATTAACTTTAGCCAGTTTCAGGACTAATGGACTAGGAACTCCTTTTTACTCTATAAGAGGAATCTATGAAGTAATTTGGAAAATAGAGGGAGAAACCGTGGAGGCTGTGACAGACTTTGTATTTCTAGGTGCAAAGATTACTGCAGATGCAGACTGTGGCCAGGAAATCCGAAGACGCTTCCTTCTTGGGAGGAGAGCAATGTCCAATCTCGATAAAATAGTAAAGAGCAGAGACATCAGACTGGCAACCAAGATCCGCATAGTCAAAGCCATGGTATTCCCTGTAGTAACCTACGGATGTGAGAGCTGGACCATAGGGAAGGCTGAGCGAAGGAAGATCGATGCTTTTGAACTGTGGTGTTGGAGGAAAGTGCTGAGAGTGCCTTGGACTGCGAGAAGATCCAACCAGTCCATCCTCCAGGAAATAAAGCCCGACTGCTCATTGGAGGGAAAGATACTAGAGACAAAGTTGAAGTACTTTGGCCACATCATGAGGAGACAGCAAAGCCTAGAGAAGACAATTATGCTGGGGAAAGTGGAAGGCAAAAGGAAGAGGGGCCGACCAAGGGCAAGATGGATGGATGGAATCCTTGAAGTGACTGGACTGACCTTGAGGGAGCTGGGGGTGGTAACGGCCGACAGGGAGCTCTGGCGTGGGCTGGTCCATGAGGTCACGAAGAGTCGGAGACGACTGAACGAATGAACAACAACAACAATGAAGTAATTTTCAGCTCTCAGTTACACCCTGCATAAAAAATATTGTATCTGCAGGTCATAGATGTTTATTTTTTCAGTCACAATCTCTTGTTGAATCCCTAGTGACTAACTGAAGAACTTTGGTTAAAAACCCTGCACTAGAACAACTGTTTCGAGTTGTCTTTGGGCTTAGCTTTTGAACAGAAAGATGCTCTTCAAATATATTGTACTGTGGTCCTCTGGCCCACTAAAAAGCTTTAAATATTTCCTAATCATAAACCGAAAGCAATAAGGAATCAGGTAAATGATTATTTTGTTAAATGCTACCATATTTGTTAATGTCACTGCAGATTTATGAACCACCATAATCCCGTACATACACTATTATTTGCCTTAAGAATAAATGTGAAAGAACTTACATTTTAGTTCAGTTACAGGAGGTCCTGCAAATATTACTTTGATCTATAAATTGAAGGTAACATCACAGAGCTGGAAAACATGCCAAGTTTTATTTTCCAGCCAACTAACACAGTGCATTGGTAAAGCGCCAAGTTTGAAAATGTTTTCAAAATAATACAAGAATTAGAAAAGAAGAGCCCACACTGGAAGCCATTCTATAAAATTAAAATGGCTCGCTCTTCATGACTAAGAGTTTCAGGTCAGAAATGGAAAACGAGCCTGAACACACCGCAGTTAAGAACCCCACAGGTACCTTGTACATGAGCAATAATGGATTGTCACAAGGAAACATGATTCATAATTTACAATTCCGAAGGCTATAACAGAATAGTTTACCACACACTGGAAGTAAAGACTTACACTTTTTTAAAGTCAAATATAAGATTATCTAACTGAAGATAAGGTATGCCTGTGATCCAGTATTGTCTGCCTGGGGCAAAGACTGAAAAGAATACATTAACATTTACATTCTTACTAATTGATAAGAATGCTCAACAACCATACAATTTATTGTCGAAGGCTTTCATGGCTGGAATCACTAGGTTCTTGTGGGTTTTTTCGGGCTATAGAGCCATGTTCTAGAGGCATTTCTCCTGACGTTTCGCCTGCATCTATGGCAAGCATCCTCAGAGGTAGTGAGGATGCTTGCCTCACTACCTCTGAGGATGCTTGCCATAGATGCAGGCGAAACGTCAGGAGCAATGCCTCTAGAACATGGCTCCATAGCCCGAAAAAACCCACAAGAACCTAACCATACAATTAATTATATGGATAATGACACAGCCGTGATGTTAATTACTTGAGAATAATTGTAAACACTTGACATGATTTCAGTTCCTTAATTTCAGGAGTAACTGGGCGGTGGTTGTTTCCTGCAATTTAAATCTTTAAATGTAATGATTCAACAATTCAGTGAGCTTTACATGGGACTGCCTTTGAAGACTGTTTGGAAGCTCCAAATGGTCCAACAGGCGGCAGCCAGGTTGATCACCGAGGTGGTGAGCATACAACTCTCCTGTTATGTCAATTCCACTGGCTGTCAGTCTGCTATCAAGCACAATTCAAAGTGCTGGCTTTAGCCTATAAAGGCCTAAATGGTTCTGGCCCAGCTTACCTATCCAAACATATCTTCCTCTATGAACCATTGCAGAGATTAAGATCTTCTGGGGAGGCCCTGCTCTGGGTCCCACCTACTTTGCAGGCACGGCTCGTGGGGACAAGAGACAGGGTCTTCTCAGTGGTGGCCCCTCGACTCTGGAAGTCCCTCCCCAGTGATATTCGATCACCTCCTTCCCTTTTATCCTTCAGGAAGAAAGTTAAAACATGGCTATGGGACCAAGCTTTTGGAGATTAACTGCAGTGCAAGAAATGAACAAAGAATCTGTGCAATGACATTGGAATGGCCCTGGACTACAACATTTGATTATGTGATTTTGAAAACTGAATTAACTTTTTTATGTGTTTTAATTCTATGTTTTTAATATAGATGTTTTTACCAATGGTATGTTTTTAAAGTATTGAATTGTTGCCGATATGTGAAGCTGCTCAGAGTCCTCGCGGGGTTGAGAAGGGCAGGGTACAAACATGGTAAATAAACAATATATGGATTTTCATACTAATGATTAACAAAAACAAATTCTTGTAACATTCAAATGATAACAAATTTTCTCAAGCAACACCCTAAAACCATGTGAACTTCTCTTTTCCAAATTGTTAAATAAGAACAAAGGATTAACACTGGTTAGGTCTAAGATTGTGCCCAAAGTATTTATGGTCTGGCAAACAGCGAGTAAAACACATTTCATTTCAAGAATGACAGAAACAGAACATCACATTTAAAAGATAAAGTTTTAATATCAGTAGTGATGGAAGTAGAGTGGTTTTTGCAGTAAGACTAATGGTATTTCAGACCAAACGTGTTGAAATCCATCTTACCATGATGTTCATCACAGCTTAAACAGCAAGGAGGCAGAACCCTAAACCAAGTTGTCCACTCATCTATAAGCTACTGATAATACTTCTATCATACGAAAAGCTCATGTTACTTGCTTATAATAGGACAGCATGTCATCTAAACTTTGGTAAGATGCCTCTGGATTAGACAGGCTGCTCTCATAAGCTTGTGTGGATGGGAACTGGTTGCTCTGTGAGCCACTGCTGTGAGTTTCTGCTGACGAAGATGGCAAGTCCCTATACAGATTCTGTTCTCTTTTTTCATATGAAGATCCAGGTTTATGCATATTCTGAATTTTAAAGTCACAAGTTCTTTTTTGATCTGCAAAGTAAGCCGAAGGTGGTGCAAATTCTGGCTCTCGTTCATCCCTGAGTTCTTCCAGTTTCTTTGACCACATTCCAAAAGCGAATTCTGTTAGTGGAAAAGAAGAGTCAAATTCAGTAGTAATAGTAGTAGTAATAGTGGTAATAATAATAATAATAATAATAATAATAATAATAATAATAATTTATATACCACCTTTCCCCCCAAAACAAAGTGTGTGATTCAACTCAAAGACTGTTTAGTTCAGGCATGGGCAAACTTGGGCCCTCCAGTTGTTCTGAACTTCAACTCCCACAATTCCTAACAGCCTACTTGCTGTTAGGAATTGTGGGAGTTGAAGTCCAAAACACCTGGAGGGCCCAAGTTTGCCCATGTCTGGTTTAGCTTTAAACAAATCAAGCTCATATTAACACCAGACCCTTTCCCACAAACCTTGCTTTACTGTTGGCAGAAATCAATATTCTAGTTACATGGATCCAGAGCCAGAAGCATGGTTCACTGAAGGAACCCAAATTGTAGAAACATTCAAAACCACTCATTTTTGTTGTGACTTCTAGAAGTCTTATGAGGGAATATCAAAGAACACCAACAAGTGGAAATAAATTCTTGACAGAAGAATGTATAGAAACCAAGCATTTACTGATAACAAATTAGTACTTGCAATGCTTGCTAAACACGTTGATTTTCCTTTCTTTGAAGTACAGCTGAAGCATATTCTGCAGAGCCCACTGTAAGCCTTGCACAAGAGATCTGTGTAAATGCCTAAAACTTTTATGGTGGCCAAATTTTTGAGACTCCCAACATTGAGCTAAGGGGAGCCCTTTTGGGGTTGGGACCCACAGTTTAAGAAGCCCTGCTCTAGGATACCAAGGCAGAGCTACAACTACAGGGATAAGTTAGATCATTCCCTCTGCATTGTCAGGGTGGAAGGAAGTAGCTCAGCTGCCTCTCCAATATATTAGTGCTGTAGGTCGAGGGTAACTGTGTGTGGGGCAACATTCACACCTTAGATTTCCTTACTTAACATGGTCCTGACCTTACAAGGAAGAACTGACAATAGAAATGTGTCCATAATAAATAAAAACTTCATTTGTATTCTGCCCTATCTCCCCGAGGGGACTTGGTATGCTTAGATGATGCTCATTCTGAGTATTACCTTTGCCTCTATCCCATTCTCGAACATAAGGAACTCCAGGCTTAGTATCTTTCCTTTCTTGAATGACAACTTCCACTTTTCTGCTTTCCACAGGAAACCTTGGTACTTCAGCAGACTTGGGCTCAGCCGGGACTGGCTCAACATCTTCATCTGCTTTGTTGGAGAAAAAGATTGTACTTAAATCACAACATGAAATTAAAACTATTGCCAGGATAGATACACACACACATGCACATACACACACTTTATTTATACCCCACCACCATCTCCCTGAAGGGACTCAGGGATCAAAGGCTCAAGCATTACCTACTCAGAGTCCATTGCATCATACTGGGGATGTTAAGGACCCTCAAAAGTAAATTAAGACAGCAAGAAAAAAATGTTCATTCCTTGACCCCTCTGTATTATGGTAGACTGATTGCTGAGACTTTACTATGCATGTATTGCTGCGTGTTATTTGCTGGCCTTATCCATTTTGTCAACTTCATCGTGCATGTTATTATCAACTTACATTGAAAAATAACAAGAAAAAGAAATGAAAAAAATAATATACACTGTCAGGATGTCAATGGCTCTGAAAAGATGAAGCAAAATATATTACTCAGCAATTTATCTTGGAATTGACCATTTTGGAAAATCTTACTCTCCCTTCCTTAAAACTTTCAATTTGACCGCTGGAATAAAGCGCAGTATAATATATGATACAATGACATTCTGATTCCAATCGGTATAAGTAGATTATTTATATGAACAGAGATGCAAATCTGCTGTTCCTTACATTTACAGTATCTACAGAATCATTACCTCTGTTTTCCGTTGTGTCACCATCTTTCAGCCGCTTCTTTGCTCTAATTTTGGACAATCTCGCCTCCAGAGTAGCCTTCCGTTTCTCCTTTAAATGTTCACGTTTTGCTCTCTGGTCTGTAGTCTTTGAAATTATATAAAAGAGCTAACTGTTTCTGTTGCTATCCCAAACGTCAGCCCTCATATCACACAGATTTTTATTTTTATTTGATTAATATCCCGCCTTTCTTCCAAAATCGGAATCAAAGTAACCTACAATATACAAAATAGCTAAAACAATATGTGATACAAAAATATTAAATAATAATCCAATGTAGAGAAGTGTCTATTATAACTGTGTTTTAAACTGTGTTTATGCTTTACATTGTAGCCATGACCTAGCTGAGAGAGATAGGTTGCCATGGTGACAGGCCAGAGGAGGTGGGTGGAGCTTAAGTAGGAAAGGTTTGAAAACGACAGTTTAAAATCAGTCAGGCGGATGAGACCCTGAAGGACAGAGTCAAAGGGGACTCTGGGATAATAGTTCAGTCAGGGGAATGAAACCCTGAAGGACAGAGTCAAAGGGGACTCTGGGATTATAGTTCAGTCAGGGGAATGAAACCCTGAGGGGCAGAGTCAGTTGAGGCTCTGTGGTGTAGTGTAAATTCATCCAGTTCTTAGGATTTGTGAATATTATTCCAGCTAGGAAGCTGGAGGTGAAACCTCGTTAGATTGCTTGAGTAAGAAAGAATCTAACAAGAAAGAGGTTTAGGGATCCCAGTGGTGAATGGCTGGAGATCGCTAGTTTGATCCTGTGTAGGACAAACAGTTGTAAATATTCACAATAGGGAACTGAAATATTAAAGCACCTCATTGTAGAAGAAGTCAAAGAATTGTAACATCACCTGAATGTATCTCAACTAAGCCATATTTGTAACCATCAAGCTTGTGCCAAGTTCAACAGTTAATATTGCAACAGTTACGCTCCGACAATAAATCTGTTCTCTTTGTGTTTTAAAACCTGCCTCATCCATTGATTTCAACGTTTTGCACAATCCACACTACCAAAGTGGCCTCACAACCCAGATAAGAAGAAACAGAGATTATATTACCAATATCTCTTTATATTAGGGTGGCAGCTTAACCTAGAAGTCTCAAATTCTCATTACATTTGTGTGGTGATCCTATTTAGTTGGGATTTCACGCCATTATTTTATTTTTGGAGACTACTTCACATATTTTGGTGGCAGCAAGTGAACGGCTTCGAATTGTAGTAACGAGCGGTGGGGACGCGGCTTCGCAAATTTGGTGGCAGACGACGGGATTCGTGTAACAACTAATCGAGTGCCTTAAGTTTAATTTTGAAATAAGTTGTGAGGTAAAAGTTGCTGAAAAAATGGCTACCAGGCGGCAGAGAAAGCTAGCTGAGGAAAGAGTAGAGGAAAATTCGAGCTCTGAAACAGATGAGCCAATACCTTTCTCAGAAATGGCTTTTAAGTACAAGTTAGAGATGAAACGATTGGAGATGGAGGCAAAACAGAGAGAGTTTGAAGAAAAACAGAGAGAGAGAGAACAGGAGTTAGAATTGAAGAGAATGGAGTTTGAGCTAGAGAAACAAAGATTGGCTTTGTCTCGAACAGCCAGTGAAACCCAGGAGGGAAGATCTGGAGGAAATACCCCAGATTTGATGAAGAAATTCCCAAAATTCAACAAAGACGATGATCCAGAGAAATTCCTAATATCTTTTGAGAGATGTTGTCGAGATTTTGATGTGGCTAAGGAAAAATGGATGACATACCTAAGGCCTCAGATAAGTGGGAAACTTTTGCAGATTTATGGACAGATGTCTGAGGATTCATATGGAGACTATGATCTGTTTAAGAAACAGATTCAACAAGAATTTAGATTGACTCCTGAATATTATAGATTTAAGTTCAGGACATTAAAGAAAGATAAAACTCAAAGTTTTGGTCAGGTGGCCTCAAGATTGTCTCAACTGTTCGATAGTTGGATAAGGACATCTGAGGTGGAAGATTATCAACAGCTGAGGGAACTTTTGAAGCTGGAGCAGTTTTTCCAACTAGTGCCTTATGATATTCGTTGGGTGATTCAGGATCGCAAGCCATCCACAATTGTAGAGGCAGCGGGTATGGCAGATCAAATAACAACCTTAAAAGAAGGATTTAAGAGAAAAGATCTGCCAGGTGACAAAAGAACAAGAATGTCAGTTTTCACCTATTTGATCATTCCCCATTGGTTTACATTGAAATCGCAAGCCGTCTCAAAAAGACTCAAGTTACTGCAAGAATGTAAGTTTTCACCTATTTGATCATTCCCCATTGGTTTACATTGAAATCGCAAACCGTCTCAAAAAGACTCACGTAACTGCAAGAATGTCAGTTTTCACCTATTTGTTCATTCCCCATTGGTTTACACTGAAATCGCAAACCGTCTCAAAAAGACTCACGTAACTGCAAGAATGTCAGTTTTCACCTATTTGATCATTCCCTTTGGTTTACATTGAAATCGCAAAGCGTCTCAAAAAGACTCAAGTTACTGCAAGAATGTCAGTTTTCACCTATTTGATCATTCCCCATTGGTTTACATTGAAATCGCAAGCCGTCTCAAAAAGACTCAAGTTACTGCAAGAATGTAAGTTTTCACCTATTTGATCATTCCCCATTGGTTTACATTGAAATCACAAACGGTCTCAAAAAGACAAGTTACTGCAAGAATGTCAGTTTTCACCTATTTGATCATTCCCCATTGGTTTACATTGAAATCGCAAACCGTCTCAAAAAGACTCAAGTTACTGCAAGACAGTTTTCACCTATTTGATCATTCCCCATTGGTTTACATTGAAATCGCAAGCCGTCTCAAAAAGACTCAAATTACTGCAAGAATGCCAGTTTTCACCTATTTGATCATTCCCCATTCGTTTACATTGAAATCGCAAACGGTCTCAAAAAGACTCAAATTACTGCAAGAATGTCATTTTTCACCTTTTTGATCGTTCCCCATTGGTTTACATTGAAATCGCAAACCGTCTCAAAAAGACTCGTTACTGCAAGAATGTCAGTTTTCACCTGTTTGATCATTCCCCACTGGTTTACATTGGAATCGCAAACCGTCTCAAAAATACTCACGTAACTGCAAGAATGTCAGTTTTCACCTATTTGATCATTCCCCATTGGTTTACATTGAAATCGCAAGCCGTCTCAAAAAGACTCAAACTGCAAGAATGTCAGTTTTCACCTATTTGATCATTCCCCATTGGGTTACATTGAAATCGCAAACGGTCTCAAAAAGACTCAAGTTACTGCAAGAATGTCAGTTTTCACCTTTTTGATCATTCCCCATTGGTTTACATTGAAATTGCAAACCGTCTCAAAAAGGTTCAAGTTACTGCAAGAAGTCAGTTTTCACCTGTTTGATCATTCCCCATTGGTTTACATTGAAATCGCAAACCGTCTCAAAAACTCAAGTAACTGCAAGAATGTCAGTTTTCACCTATTTGATCATTCCCCGTTGGTTTACATTGAAATCGCAAACCGTCTCAAAAAGGCTCAATTAACTGCAAGAATGTGTTTTCACCTATTTGATCATTCCCCATTGTTTTACATTGAAATTGCAAACGGTCTCAAAAACTCGTTACTTCAAGAATGTCAGTTTTCACCTATTTGATCATTCCCCATTGGTTTACATTGAAATCGCAAACCGTCTCAAAAAGACTCACGTAACTGCAAGAATGTCAGTTTTCACCTATTTGATCATTCCCCATTGGTTTACATTGAAATGGCAAACCGTCTCAAAAAGACTCAAGTTACTGCAAGAAGTCAGTTTTCACCTGTTTGATCATTCCCCATTGGTTTACATTGAAATCGCAAACCGTCTCAAAAAGAGTCAAGTAACTGCAAGAATGTCAGTTTTCACCTATTTGATCATTCCCCATTGGTTTACATTGAAAAGACTCAAGTTACTGTAAGAATGTCAGTTTTCACCTATTTGATCATTCCCCATTGGTTTACATTGAAATCGCAAACGTTCTCAAAAAGACTCAAGTAACTGCAAGAATGTCAGTTTTCAACTATTTCATCATTCCCCATTGTTTTACATTGAAATCGCAAAAGGTCTCAAAGAGGCTTAATTTACTGCAAGAATGTCAGTTTTCACCTATTTGATCATTCCCCATTGGTTTACATTGAAATCGCAAACCG